AGGGGCGTGAGGTCCCTCGAGCGCTAGTTACGTACAAAAGAATAAACAGAACGCTGAAATGAAGCCGAAAAAAACAAGAAAAATCAGTGTGTCAGCCTGTAGGCGACGATAATGAGGCCGTAGAGGCAGTCGGCGGGTCCAGGAAGTAGGCCGGCGGCAGCGGCTTATCAGGGTAACAAACATAATAGTCCAGTACGAGGTCAACACAATTCTTGAAGTCCTGCCAGGGCTGCCACGGAGGATCCGTATTCCAGTCACCCCATTTTCCTTCGAATAAAGCCTTATATTCTATACCGTGGCGCAACTGGCGGCAGTTAACAATCTCGCGAACGGGCCATTCCAGATAGGTTTCGTCAGTGTTAACATCTACGATCACGACCGGTTCCTGGGGGTCCTCATATTGACCGGGGTAAGCGTCCTTAGCGAGAGGAACGAGGCACAGCAAGAAAGGGTGGAATACAGGTGTAATCCCGGCATCCAGCATGTAGTCCGGCAGGGCCAGCTCGTAGGCCTTATTATCAATAATTCGAGTAATCGGCCACGGGCCAAGGGCTTTCGGGGCGAGCGAATGACTCTCACGCTGCAGGCGGAAATTATGGGCATTCACATATACGCGGTTACCGATTCGGTAGGCGGGATAGGGCTGCCGATGGGCATCAGTATACCGGGCGTAAGTCTCCTGGGACCAGATAATCTCATTGCGAAAGAACTTATGGATAGCCTCAGTGCGGCAGACAAGCTGATCGGCTGCCTCCATTTCGGGATACGTGGCGTGCGGCAGAGAACCAGGCGGCTTAACCCCAGTATGAGAGTGAAAGCCGTTATTCGCAAAGAAAAGAGTCATACCAGTTGTTTCAGAGATATGATCATTAGCAGCGAGCTCCGCGTCAGGGAAAAAATCAACCCAATTGTCTTGCGCGTAATTGATATAGGCCCGAAAGTAATTCTTTAAGCCTTTTACGGCTGCCTCGGACTGCCCATTAGTCTCAGGATGATAGGCTGTTGATAGCTTGCCCTTAACGCTATACTGCGCACAGTATCGCTTCCAGAAATAACTAGTAAAGGCGCTGCCACGGTCCGAAACGATCGATCGCGGTAGCCCGTGTGTGCAGAACACCCGGCGGTGCATTACCTCTATAAGCTCTTCAGTTAATTTAGTAACCAGCGGCTCGAAAATCTTGGCTTTAGTCAAACGGTCAATTACTACGAGAACGTGGCGAAACTCCTGGCCACGGCAGCTGCAGAAAGGAAGTTTTTCGGCCATATCCATAGAAAGGTCGAGCCATTTACGTTGCGGGATCAGGAGCGGCCGAAATACGCCCTAGGCCTGTTCTGTACGGGCCTTTGCGCGTTTGCATATAGAGCAGAAATCGCTATATTGATTAACGTCTTTCTTTATTGCGGGCCAGTAGTAGTAGCGGATGGCCGCGCGGAACATAGCTTTAGGCCCTGGATGGCCCGAAAGGCGGTACTGGTAAACTGTATAGAGGATTCGGTAGCGGAGTGGCTTGTAATCGGGAATATATAATCGTTTTCTGACCCAAACTCGATGATCCCGGATGGTAATGTCTGCTAGAGAGAGCCTAATTCTATAATCGAGTACAATACGCGGCAGCCGGCGCCTGCCTTCGTCCTTTACTTTTATGATTGCTTGGGCGATCTCGTCATTCTTATAGGCTTCTTCGATAAGGGTCTCCAGGGGCATTTCGTCGGTTTCAGTGGCCTCAGTAGCCGCAGTTGAGGGCTGCGAAACGGAAAGGGGCTCGTCCAGTTGACTATCCGGTTGAACATCGGGAGGATCGCTAAGGCCTGGTAAAACGGGATTTTCTGGTTCAATAGGGGCAGGTTCGATATCGTCAGTATATTCGGTACTTGAACTAACGATATTTCTGCTTTGCGCGCGGGTGACCGCGAAAAGGTCCTTTTAAACTATCTCATTAAGGTACTGTGGCAGGAGCAGTGTTTGAAAACGTTCTTTCTCGCGGGCATCATCGGTCCCCTGCGGTAGATCCTGGGAATGGCGCGTTAAGATATCGGGCTTCTCGCCCTGTTTACCAGGTCGATACATGATCTTAAAATTAAACTCGGAGAGGAACTCGGCCCAACGGGCCTGGCAACGGTTCAATTGTTTGGTAGTTATAAAATGCTGTAGATTCCGGTAATCGGTATAAACCTTTACAGGGTTATCAGGGACTGCGCTGGCCAGTTCAGGCCTCTACATTTTAAATGAGCGAATGATTGCTAACAGCTCCTTATCGTAGATCATGTAATTAGTCTCTGCGGGGGTCATCTTCTTCGAGAAGAAGGCTACAGGGCGTAGGATATCGCTATGCATCTGAGAGAGCACTCCAGCAGTAACGTAGTCGGAGGAATCGGTCTCTACCTACGTCTCTAGATTAGGGTCAAAATGCGCTAGATTAGGAGCCGTTTCAAAGGCCGCTTTAAGCTCGTGAAAAACCTTATTACACTCAGGAGTCCAATTGAAGGCCGGATAACGTACTCGACGCGCACCAGACTTGGTCTCGTAGGTCTCGCTGCCTTTAGTAAAGTCAGTGAGCGGCCTCGTACGATGCGAGAATCCGTAAATAAAACGGCGATAGAAGCCCGCAAAGTTGACAAACGAGAGGACGTCTTTAACCGAGGAAGGGGTCTGCCACTCGCGAATAGCAGCTACCTTCTCCGGGTCTATGCGAATGCCTTCAGTTGTAACGAATAAGCCAAAATACTTGACTTCCCGGGTATCAAAGTCGCATTTATCGATATCAACCTGCAGGCCGCGGTCCCGCAGGCGCCTAAGAACCTTCAAAACATGCTCAGTATGTTCTTCCTCGCTATCACTGAAGATCAGTACGTCATCCAGGTAGGCAGTGCAGAATATATCGAGATAGTCAAATAGCGAATTGTTAATATAGCTCTGAAATGAAGCCGGGGTATTGCAGAGCCCGAAAGGCATAACTAAGTATTCAAACTGGCTGTACCGGATGTTGAAAGCAGTCAGCCATTCCTGGCCCTCCTTAATACGCAAGCGATTGAATGCATGAATAACGTCTACCTTGCTGAAGATTTTCGCCCGCCGCAGGCGGTTGAGGGTCTCGTTAATCAATGGGATAGGGTAGCGGCTCTTAATAGTGAGCTCGTTCAGGGCTCTATAGTTAACGCAGACCCGCAGACTGCCGTTAGGCTTACGGACGATCAACAGAGGTACTGCACTTTGCGAGGAACTTAGGCGAATGAAACCTTTGCCGAGTAACTCTTGAATATATTTCCAAATAACTTCAAGTTTCTGTTCGGTCATTAGACGGTAGTTCTTTGCAAACGGAAGGGTAGCGCCCTCTACTAACTGGATATCATGATCTTCAGGACGGTACGGTAGCAGGGTATCAGCCTCGTATTTCATAAAGATATCAATTACAGAGTGATATTTTTCAGGGACTCGTTTCTTTAGCTACTCAACCGTATATGCCTCTTTGTTAGCCAAGAACTTGTCGAAATCTTCAGGACGCACCGCATTGGTGGTAGAGGCGCAGAGGTGCTTACGGCCATCTCTAGGCATAACGAGATAGCCGTAATGATCCCGGTAACTCACTAGGGAAATAAAATGTCTAGCAGAAACGATCGAAATACTGTTATTAGCAGTAATCTGGACCGTAGTCTTGCTCACTAAAGCTTTGGAGCCGCGGGCATGCGCAGTGCAGGGAACACCCCGAGATAGGCAATCCTCTGCGAAGCAGTGAGGTGAGTTAAACGTAAAGGTACGATTCGTAAAGTCAATATAGGGATTGTGCGTGGTTAACCAACGGTCATCTAGTACTAACTTGTGGCGTACTAAGGGAGCGATATAGGTTGCTAGTTACTTGATATGGCCGTCTATTGTACAGTCGAATAGGGCCATTTGGGTAACAGTAAAATAAAGGGTACTGTCCGCGAGATGAAACGGGATCGGTGTAACAAGGTCTAGAATAGGCAAATTAAAGGTACATACAAGAGAGGGATCAATAGCTTCAACTTCACTTCCATTATCTATTAGAACGGGTGTTGTTCCGGGCTGCCTATAGAGCTAAGCAGATACAACCAGGTGCCGGCCCCGCCTAAGCTGACCCTCTAAACCTAATGCTAACGACGATAAGAAGCAATAATCATTCTGAATCACTCTTAAATCAGGTCTCTGATCACGACTTTGATCAGAGACTACTCGTTTTCCGAATCAGAGATTGGCTTAAGGCCTACCGCAGCAGCGACCTCATTCACAGAACGATAAGAGTTAAAATAAGGGCAGCAGGTATCGCTAGCGCGGTAATTCGAGCTACGGCAGCTCCAACAGCGGCCAGCGCGGGTCAGAGCAGTCTTGTCTTCGGCAATAAGCTTCGGGGGATTGCGCTGCGGTTCAAACCACTCACCAGTCTAACCCTTAGGCTTAGCACTGGAGGAAGGGAAACGAGAACGGCGGCCATCACTAGCGAAAGGTGCAACAGCGGAACTGGCGGAAGCAGAGCTACAAGTATTTAAGGATGCACCAGTGCCAGAGCGACCCTTAGGAGCGGGCGATAAGGTATTAGAAAGGGTAGGAACGCTGGTAGTGCCTAAGGCAGGGATAAACGAGGTATTAGGCTGGCTGTTCTTGCTGAAGGTAAAATTAACTTCTTTGTTGCCGCGTTCCTTGCGCCGAGCCACGTCCAGCACAGCAGCTACGGTTTCAAAGGTCTTATGACTAAAAGATTTGCTGATATAGGGAACCAGGGTATATTGGAACTTGGTCACACGCTCCTCTTCGGGAGTCTCGGCGCAGATTCACAAGGGGAGAAAACGCTAATAGTAAGCCGATACAGACTCATTTCTGTCTTGTTTTACAGCGATTAACTGTCTCTTAGCGTCTCCCTTGAGGAAGTAGATACCCAGATACATTTCGAGCTCTTTTATGAAGGTCTGGTAGGTTACATTCGATCCGTAAGTGGTAAACTGGCTTATAACCTTGAAGACATCCTTTGAGAGATGTTTTATGGCGTACAAGATCTTGGATCTATTATCGGGATAGAAGATACTGTCAATACGGAACTTCTCATCAACTGCAAAATGTCAAACAGGGTAAAGGTCGGTATCATTATTACTAATATCTAGAGAGAAAGTTGGCTTCTTTCTGCAAAGACGACTGAAAACTTCAGTTACAGTAGTTTCAGTAGTATATTAACGTTCGGAGCGCTAAAACTGGTTGCAAGAACGCAAGTTCTTGTGCAAGTTATAAAAGGGATTATTTTCTACGCTTTTAACCGGCTTATCGAGTCTACAGAAATCTTCATCTAGAAGAGAGACTTAAGGATTTTGAGGCTGAGAGGCCTCGGGCTGCTCAGGAGCCTTAAAACGCTGGGAAAGTTCAAAACGCTCAGTAAAGGCTTGTTCTGCAGCAGCTTTCAGCTGAATAATTTCCTCTTGGAAACAGAGGATATTCTGGGCAGCCTCGGAGTAAATCTTCTTATAACGTTCAGCGCGCGAGCCCTAATGAGTTGCTAGAACCTTACGGGCCTTCGCCTGTTCTTCTAAAACCTGAATTTTCAACTTCATTATCTCGAGATCGTGAGCAGTGTTAGAGGTCTCGATAAAACGATCTATAAGGGCCAGGGAGCAATCGAAAACAGTACGAGGCACTGTAAAGGTACTACTGTCAGTATCTTTGCGACCAAAAGTAGGAATGTCGAAGGGCTTTCTTTTGCTCATATCGAGGCTAATAAGGTCGAGACTAGTAATTGAGAAAGGCACAGTAGATATCGTCTTAGGATCTAGCTGATTGTTTACGAAGGGCTGAGCTGCCTTGCTAGCGATCTTAGTCGTTTTCGCAGGTTTCTTCTTTACGGCGGTACTGGGAGCCTGCGGCTCAACAGTAAATTTATATTGGCTGTCCTAGGAACGCCGTAAAACTATGCTGCTGGCTCTGCTGGCGGCAGATAATCTAGTAGTAAAACGATCTATCGGGAGATCCACTCTGGGGATTCTAGCAAGGTTCTGAGAGGATTCTAGAAGGTTTTAGTAATGCCAAGATTGTGCAAACGGGTAGTGGGTCAAATTAACGAAGACAAAGTTCAACGGAATCCAAATGGATAAAACTGATGAGAATACTGATGGAATCAACAAAATAGCGATGCAGCTTATTAGTGTAAGGCACTGACCTCAAGAAACGTAGGTATGCATTGACGAAGAAACTATTTATGTCTGCTATCTGTGGGTCACGTGACAGAGTCATGTGACCCAACATACCGGAAGGTTCCTGACACATATCATGCTTGTTTTGGCGACCCTTTATTCGAGCTGAGAGGGTAGTACGTGGCACTTCAAAAGAGCGGGCAGCAGCAGCAATAGAGGGAATCCTGCCATTTTTAATGGCTTCTACAGCAAGTAGAAGACGACCCTCTTGCTCAATCAATTTTTGTGTTTTCTGGGGTCTTTTTGGAGGCATGGTGGTGGTTTAAAAATGTAAACAATGGTTGCTAAGGGAAAATTTGATGAGGTGACCGGTCGGCCGGGAATCACGTTAACGCTAACGTATTTCCCCACCGAGTCGGCTACACCACCGAGTCGGCCACCGCCTACCAACTTCTAATTACTAGGGCCTTTATCAACCAAGCAATTGCATTTCTATCAAAAAATAATTAGAAACTCGATTAGGACATTGCAATTGCCTATATCCTAGATTATGGCAATTCCTGCAGCGCGGTGGCGCTCGTACGCGCGGTCCAACTGCAGAAAGTGCAGGATCTATAGGAAGCGTATTTTGAGTTTCATTAACTTCATTCTCGCGCTGGAATTGCTCTAGGCCTTTCTGAATAGGTAGTCCCTCTGCAATAGCTAGCTGCTTAGTAAAACGCTTGCGCTTTTGACCTTTCCATTCATTATCAGCGCGGTATTTGCGCAGTATTTGCGCAGTTCTTCACGCGTTAAAGCAAGCTCATTTAAAGTCAATTCATGACCTTTAATAATCTTGTCTAATCGTGATTCTAGCAATGGTAAAGGACTGTAAGCGCGTTCCCTAAGCAGTCTTTTTGTAGCAGATACCTGCTTTTCTAACTGCCTAGTAGTATAGGGCGTTTTCGGCGCTGAATTGGTTGATCGACTGCCTGGTAGTGTAGGGGTCTTTAGTTGGATATCCAACTGACTGAGTACCCTATCTGGATTGAATAGAACTAGGCCCGCGTTTGCAAAACTATTTCTGATAGTTTCTGATTGAAAAGCGCTTTCGCGGGCAGCTGGAAAGGCCTTTAAAAAGTCGATTTTGTCGATATGATTGACTCCTAGACGCGCTTTCTCCTCTATCAACTTTCCGTACGCCTTTTTTAAAGGTAAAAAGCAGCCGACATTCAGAGGTTGAAACTTGTGAGAAAAATAAGCAGGCATACAGATAGGAATTACGTTATTTTTACTGCAGAGCTGATCAAATTGAGATATAAAATGGTTACTATAGCTGTTAAGAATCAGAAGACGATATTTCCCAGTCGTACGACTAGAAGTAATAGGAATAAAAATATTTTTAAGCCAGCGAAGGCCTATCTCATCAGTAGTCTATCCATTTGGACTAACTTCAATCCTACTATCGCGTAAGAGCTTATTATCTTGATACCAACCCTCTATATAGACCTTCCCTTTAAAGATTACACATGGAGGAAGGGTTTAACCAGTAGAGTTAATACACTCGATCGAAGTAACCCATTGTCGATTGCCTGGGTGTACAAGAGATGTTTTTCCATAATAATCAGCTCTAGTAACTACTTGAGCAGTAGCTACTAGGCCCATAACGAAGCCAGTCTCGTCAAAATTATAGATATCCTCCTGTGCAATCCTATGTTGCATTATAGTAATTTGTACGCGGTTAAACCACTCTCTGATCGTTTTAGGGTCTTCGCATTTCGCTCGTCGATAATCGTAGCGTCGACTATAGCGTATTTTTAATTCGTTACGTCATTTAATAAACTTAGAGGTCCAGTTCTTTCTGACTGTTTGAATTGGCGTCGTACCGCGCGCAATAAGAAGAATATCAGCTATTTCTTGTATATGGGACGGCCAGGAAAGCGCTCCGCGTCGATCTAGCGATAGAATCTATTGTACAAGCGATTCCTCTTCATTTTGAGTCAATTTATAACTATTAGCGCGTGTTTCTGAGCGTATTGTCTTTCCGCGTAATCGATCTTGCAAGGTAAAACGAGGCACATTGTAAATACGCGCTGCTTCACGAATATTGCAGATTTCTTGATTTTTTAAAGCAGAAATAGCAAGTAGAAGTCTTCCCTCCTGTTCCGCTAAATTTCTCGAATTTTGACGCGCTTTTGGAGGCATGATAGATGGTTGAATTGAGTAGGGCGATAAAACGCGTAGATTTTTAATGAGGTGGCCGACTCGGTGGGGAAATACGTTAGTTACCTCGAGACCACCCTGATATTCTCTGCCTTCGGTATGTATTGAGAGGCTCGGCAAGAGGTCCCGCAAGCGATCCTGGAAAGGCATCTCATTGTTGATCATATTTGATGATATTCAGATGAGAGAACAGGGGTTCTTCAAGAAGAAAAATGAAAATGTCGCGACATGAAGATTGGGGAATGACGCCAATGCATCGGTTGCATACCTACTCGGTAAGTAGATGTTCGGCTCATGTCCGTGTGCATGGGACGCTTGAACTTTGTCCGCGCTGCCAATCGCCCCACCAGAATTTCCGTTTTAGGCGAGATCGCGAGGGCCCACCGACTCCACCAGTTGACGTCTCCAGTCAGAGCGTTCTAGACTCGCTAGGGACGTTAGCCTCCCCACTATGATTCGATGCTGGGATAGTGACGTCAAATGCTTCATCCATTTAACCTGCTGGCCACTTATGCCGCTGCCGGTGCCGCAATAATGGACAACAGTCTCACACAATCTTCGTTTGCCGACTAGTGGCTGATTAATGCTCTATCCTTGATTTTCATGGCTACTGCCTGCGCTCCATGATGAATATTGGGGGAGAACATGGCGTCGTAAGTATGATAATATGTTTGCTGCAGCTGTAGCCGCGGAGCTACCCAACAAGACACAGCTAGCTTACTTTAATGGAGTTTCAGATATCCTTAGCATGTATATGTAATGCCAAGCAAGCAGGATATTAGTACGGTAAGATGTTTGACCCATCTGCTAAAACACATCCAGAAACACATCAAATTAAAGCTTTATAAGTATTAATGGAAAGACCATCTTTGCGTTTAGTATATATTATCACCTGACCTTGGCGCTAGCAATATGTGCATTTCTTTGGTAGAGTCCAGGAGTCCCTGAGCGGGCAGACGTAGCGCCAAGCAAGCAGGATGTTAGGAAGATGTTTGACCCATCTACTAAAGCATATCCAGAAACACATCAAACAAGAGGTTGATGAGGATCGATTAAAGAAGGGGCCTTGTGTTTACGGTACATTAATTATCTTATCTTGGGGAGAGTGATTATCGACGGAGGGAAAAGGGGTAAACATTCTCGTGCCGTGTATATAAGTTGGGCATAATCTGGTTCTCAATTGTGGGAATCACCCTCATTCTATTCATATTCTTTTCCTTCCACCACTGCGTAAAGAAGTGTGTTGGGGTTTTCTCTGCTATATTCCTTTTCTCTATCCTAGAACCAGGCAACGATACCGACCGAGGAACTAAAGCCGGAATCTAGTATCAATATGACTCTTAAAGCAATCATTATTGTTGCTAGTGCGCTGGCCGCTCGCACCGCTGCTCATGGTATTTTGAGCGAGTTCTATACCGACGGTAACCGGAACGCCGGGTTCCAAACGGAATACATCTACCGCATGCAAAACGGAAACCCTGTACCTGACCTTGCTGCTTGGTCTACCGAAAGCTTGGACAGGGGCTACATCGAACCCAACAACCTGCGGACCCTTGACATCAATTGCCATGTGAATGCCGAACCTGGTGTTTTAACGGCTCAAGTTGCTGCGGGAGGCAAGGTTGATTTCTTCTGGCCTGACTGGCCCCATAACATCGGCCCAGTCCTTACCTATATCGCCGCCTGCACTGGTGACTGTGCTTCTGCTGACAAGTCCACTCTTAAGTGGGTAAAGATCGATGAATCTGGCTATGATGGTAAATGGGCAGGTCAGAAACTGATAGACAATAACTTCACCTGGACGACTACTGTCCCTGAAAACATCGCTGCAGGGAACTATGTCTTCCGGAACGAGATTATCAATCTTCATAGCGGTGCCGAATCCAATGGTGCGCAGCTTTATCCGCAGTGCGTGAATATTGAAATTACCGGTTCTGGGTCCGAAACTCCTGAGGGTGTTCTTGGCATCAACCTGTATAAGGCTGATGACCCAGGCATCTTGTTCGACCCTTATGCCGAGACAATCGACTACCCTCTTCCAGGGCCTTCGCTCTACGGCTCTACTGGTTCTACCGTCTCTCCAGTTCCCATTGTCTCTGGTACGCCTAGCCATACCACTATGGCACCCACCAGTACACCTGGGGTCGACTTATCGGGGCGTCCCAGCGCAAGCTCCACTGCCCGCAGGACCCGTACCAGGTCTAGCTCTGGCTTGCGTACTCGCACTTCAGGCTCTTGCCCTACTCATGTATAGATCATGGTATGTCCACAGTCTAGTTCCTTGGTGTGATCTTAACAGTTCTCGTCGTGCAAACCAAAACTTATGAAAATGGCTAATCTGAGATCCCTCTGACATGATAGATTATCAAGAACTGGGAAAGGTATATTTGATGCAGGCACCGGTTTTGCAAGATAGTATACTGGTCCACTGCATCTCGACATGCGCAATGCTATACGTCTTCGTACGCGGTACCTTGATTCTTGTGGATTCGATCACTACGTGGCCTCATCGATCACTTGTTGCTTCTTGCCCATGTTATTCTGCTTGTTGTAAAATGTGTGTGTTGAGGCCGAGGATTAGAACCGCAACATCGGAAATAGTTCAATGGTGACTCATCGATTAAGATGTACATAGCCTCATGTATACTCTCTAAGAAAAGATGAATTCAACTCTCTGAGCTACAAGAATTACACGCCAGGACTTCGTCTGTCCCCATTATCCTGGAACCCCACTGATGTAAATAAAACATACCAAACGCGATATTCGACCCGCAGCAGTAGTAGCTGAGGTCATTCCCGGTGCACTCGCTACAAAATGTGTTGATGCTGTGCATCTCATAAGACTATTGTCCTTTCTCGCAGACCGCACGTGGGATTGGAGCAGCTTCCCAACAGTACTCATTCCTTTTGGTACCTTCAAGCACTTACTCTGACGTGTCATCCACGCAATAGTACAGTTCAGACCATCAGGGATATTGATTGACACTTAATATAGTAATGGTATTTGTCGGTTGACTTGGTCATTGCCCTAAGCAGATATCCTATCGATTCAACTGAATATAGGTATATGCTCGGTAGGTAAAGGTAAAGTGTCATTCTAAACTACAATCTGCCTAGCTATTTATAGTCTCACTTGTTTACACCTATGCATTCCTGATCCCTTGGTATGCCATTTGGAATGGTAGACCAGATCTAGGCCAAGCAAGATACTGTGCGGTATGTGGATTAGGTCAAGATACTCCACTTCTCTGGTCTGGTTGATAACATCGTTCCAACACTGGACCTACTTTAGAAGTGGTGAAAACATGAAGGTCAAGATATTAAAAACAAACGTACAGTTTTAGAATCTAGGATTTATCCTATCCTCCGATACTCAGGTGTTGCTCAATTCGAGCGTTCAACCCAACCAATAGCTTGCAAATCAATGCAATTCGTATCTATAAGTTGTCTTAAGGCGTTGCAGGGCTTGCTTTTTGTCATTGTATCGGCAGGGTTAGAATCTCTATCGATCCACTTGATATCCGTGATTTGGCGGCATTTATAGGCTTGTCGGAAGCACATAATATCAATCATCAAGCGTTTCTCTTGGGTAGATCCGAGTCGTACAAGGCAATCATACAATAACTTCGAGTCAGTACAGAGTACGATTGGAATATTAACTTACAGCATTTAATCCAGCGTTAACTTTATTGCGAATGCAATATCTAAACCATAAGTTATAGCGTAAAGCTCTGATGCTAAAACACTGCGGGTAACACGCTTGCATTTGATAGAACTCCAATGGACGATATTGGCATTTGCAGCAGTAGTGTTACTGGCATTTCCCTTGTCAGCTAGTACGATAACGTAGCCAATTTGAGAAGAAAGGTCCTTGTTATTGGCAAATGATACGTCTGTAAAGACTAGCAGTTAAAGGAATTTCAGGTCCAGTTTGACATATTTAAGGCCTCTTGCGGCATTCTCTAGCTGCCAATTAAGTCGCTTGTTAAGTGATTCGGTATCTTCCTTGCTTGGGTTAATCACTTGAGCAGCAAATGATAAATCGAATAAAGCTTCTGGCTAGCAGACAGAAACAATATAGGTACCTCTTGCGCGTTCTGCAATATATCGATCTTTTAGGGTGCTTGGTGCCTGAGTGATTATCTTGTCAATAAGTGACAGTTTGATACACTGAGTCTCCTGAATAAGAGTAATCCTATCAGGTTCTAGCTTGACCATGCTGCCATTGAACTTCAAGGGCTTTTTAATAATTAACTTTTCGCGGTCTTTAGCCAGAAATTGAGCCTTCCGTAGCTCAATCTCTTCAGATTCAGCGAACGTGGTATCTGCAAGAATGAGAGTATCATCAGTCTGAAGTCCAACGATACCGAAACCAGTGGATTTTCTTGAATTGGGGCTATCCATGGTATAGAGTAGGCATGGGTCGAATGTTAATTGGCTCATCCGGAGGTGTTTCAGGTGATAGGAGTGATAGGTTCTGAACCAATAGTTCCCTGTTTCAGAGATCCTATAGAGAGGTTTGATAACCTTCATGACAGTATTGCTGGTGAGCCCAAGTTAATCAATAAGTTCCTTCGGTAGGCGCGCGTAAAGTTCTCAGTTAAGTTTGGTTGTTAATTGTACGTACACTTGCGAAATATCGCGAAAATATAGCTGGAAATCTGTTATACTTGCAGTAATGCAGAGAATAAGGCGTTAGCTGACTCGCTAGATTGTAGAAGATTGTGTAAGGATTAGATCCTTTCCCTAGTCATTATAGGTTTGTATAACCAGTTGTAATTTCTCGAATGTTCCTTCTGTTCCTTTATTCTTAATTTTATCAATAAATCGTAAATTGAAGAGTCTGACCCCTGGTAAGATATCTTCAATTTTAAGAAACTCGAATATTCTTTGTTTAAGTAAATCATTGACTTCCTTTTGCCTTAAATCGTAATATTGTTGGATACCGGGATTTCTCTCAGTTTGCAAGAAGACATTTATAGGCAAAGGGAGCTTTCGTAGACGGCCTAGGCCTCGTTTTTATGATTGTACAGATTGCAGGAGCATCAAGGCAGGCTTATAACCTGAATTGAGCAATCGGGTTCGTCCGAAACGTCTAAGGGTAGGTTCTAAGGTTTTCGAGGGTTGTCCTTTGTCAATTTCAGGTTCAGTTTGGTTGATCTGGTCCGGTTCTGGAGCTTTCAAGTGCAGTTCTGGATCTTCAGTATAATATAGCTTGATTACTGTTAATCGAAATGCTGTTGGACTATTGGGTAATTTGACTGTACAGATCTCCCCTTCGGTTATTAAAAGAATAAATAGACCAGTTCAGCTGCCTGTTTTTCTTCTGTTCCTTTCTCGCCAGACAAGGACGGGAGAGCTTGGTAGCAAATCGTATACGGCAGTAATGCGTAAACCATTTCTCATATTTAATATATCAGCCAGTTAGCGCTCTGTTTTAAGCTTCTTGATTTCTGTTATAGCTTTTCTGATAGCTGCAGCCCGCTGGGAAGTTGATAGCGAAGGTACATCTGAATCAACTATACGAGGATATACGCCAAATACCAGTAGGATAGGGACTAAACCTCCAGGTCCCGCTGAATCGTTTATAGCTTTAAAAGCCATTTGAAAGGCAATCTCTTTGTCGATATCAAGGATTTCAGCAGTAATAATCTGGTAGGCTCGGCGCAGTAGACCATAGTATCTTTCAATTATGCCTATCGAATTGTGTGCTTCAATGGGGATGCTTCTTGTGCTAATATTTATAGTCCTTGCATAGGTTTTGAATTCTTTACTTACAAAGTTCTTCCCGGCGTCATGTGTGATCAAGTCTGGAGGGCCTAGGTAGGTATCAATCCAGCACATTCGCAGTATATCCCAGGTATATTTAACGTTAATGTCTCTTAACCATCTGCCAGATTGGAAGCGAGTTACTTCATCAATAACGTAAAGGAAAGACATATTGTCAATATACATAATATCGACAATAATGTTGAAATTAAAATGTGCCTCATCCTTAAAGTTAAATCGGAATCGACCAGGGGATTTACCAAACTTCTGACAATAGTAACAGAACTTAATGAGATATTCTAATGCGGCTATATTTAGCTTATAACTAGCACTTCTTAAAAGCGTCTGAAATCTATCAATAGATGGATATCTGAAACGGCAATGTAATTTCCGTAGCTTAACATCTATCAAGAAACAAGGATTTATATCAAATGAAGAGGTAAGGTATAAAGACAGAGCAGAATTCTATAGCAGAAATAGGTGGCCGAATCGGCGAATAACAGGGATCTTAACAAATGATTTAGTAACGGAATTGAAAGGCGTTACAGGCTTCAGAATCACGATAACGTTCTTAAGGTTATTGTAGTATATTCCGAGATTGTCTATATCTGCTAGATATAGCAGAAATGAGGTATCAGCGTTGACAATATAGAATTAGATGTTACCAATTGGGGTTAAAACTTTTGCGGAGCCAATTGATGAGGTTATTCCAATGCCAAATTGGACATTTACCTGGCCAGCTGTAGAGGTATCCAATGTGATATTTTCTGTATTTTGAAGTGCCTGGAATTGGCTATATCCAGCTGTAGACTTGCTGGAGGTACCAGTATCAATTATTATTCCTATAAAGATCTTAGAGTTGTACCGGGTATCGCTCGCGGAAGTGGTAGTGACGTTATAGCTGAATGAGTCAGTATCAACTATCAGATTCGAAAACTTTTGATCGTTAATACAATGGGTAAAGGATCGATTGGCAAGTTCAGAAGTTATAATCATTGCTTGTTCAGTAGTAATTGAGCCGAATAAAGTAATAAATGTATTAATAAGGTTATATTCTTCTTCATTAAGGTCTGTTTCGGTTCCAGGATCAAAAGTTCGGGTATCAGTTACGAGTGCTTCAAAAGTCTCTGTTTCCTTTTTATTAGTATTTCTTTTACAATATATTATATACTGCCTGTATCGCCTGCTGAAGTTGCCATTCATTCCTTTATTATTGTTAAAATGCTATCGATATTTCTCTTTAGATTGCCTTTGTTCTTCCTCAGTGTATCTCCAGGAGCGGCAGGTTAATTTTTAGCAGACATAACACTTGCCCGCTGGGTCTCTTTTGCCTTAGTTATAGTTTCTGTTTTGGTTATAGTATTTTCTATCAGTGTAAAAGACTTCTTCTCGGGTATCTGTATGAGAAATTCCGTGTCTTTATAGGTTCTTCTTCTCTCAAATGCTGATTGAGGATTGCAGTTTGTTGATTAGTACTGCTAGGTCTTCAGGTAGATCAGCAATGGCCATGCGGCAGGCTGGTACTCCCTAGCAAGCTGTAATAAGCTTGTTAATCAGATTCATGTTGTTTTAGAGTTTAGGGTGGAGGCCGTAACGTTGTTTTAGAAGGTTGCTAAGTAGAAGCTAAAAACCTTAATAGATTGAAATTGATCTTTCAGAGTTATCATTTATGACCTTCTGCAGTAAGATAGCGTTCCACTTGGTTAAATTCTGCCGGTAGAACTTAGATCCTTCAAAGAACTGGCGTAAGTGATGGCATGTTTCTTAAAATGTCTTTAATGATAATCTACTGCTGTAATAGTGATCTTCAGTAACTCCTTTGAGCATTGTTGGCAATGCAGCTTTGTAGCCATGTAATAGTAAGCCAGCTCTAGAGCAAATATTATAAAAGATGTTAAGTTTGAAGTCAAGGCTGCTGTTATCCGTACCGCTATATTTCTGGTCTTCTGTATAGATCTTTGTGACTGAGGCAATTTCCTTGGAAAGGTCGTTCTTGAGCCTCATAGAGAGTAAATGATTGTTCTCTTGGGCAACGTAGTTAGTCTCGAGGGCGAGATAGTTAGCTTCAGGAACGTAACTGATTCCTGGGGTAGAAGAATTGGAGGGATTGGCTTTGGGAGTAGCGAAACAGTCCTCTGGAGAGACTGAAAGATCTGGATAGTCTTTTCTCGCTTACAGATTGCTTTTGAGGGAGGCTGAAGGGTTTGGATAACTCTCTACAGCTTGTATATATTCTCTTAGGCTATCGCGTGTTAGATTCAAACGCTTTCGGAGCATAGCAGTAATCATTAGTAAATCAAGTTCTTCTAGAGCAGCTTTAAGCTCTTTATCAGTCCATTTATGGAATTTATCTTGCTAGACAATGTCGGAAAGTATATTATAGAGAGGATTTCTCGTATTGTGGCGGCGGACGAATACTCCTCGCTAAACTAGGTTATTTCGGAGGTTCATTCTCGTTTAAAGGCTGAGTTATTTAAAATGTTCGGATTTTCAGCTTTCGAATTGTTCTCGGAATGTTATCTATAGGTTATAATCAAGGATAGTATTTTCGAACTGTATATTTATCGCATAGATATTGAGATCCTGTTTTGTGGCTGTACTCAAATCGATTTCCCAATCCTTATCTCCACTTGATGAGGACTGCGGTAGTTGAGACATGGTAGTGCAAAAATAGAGTGTAACAAGGTATAAGGGGGTAGGTAGAAAGGAAAGAGAGATAGTATAAGGATTAGTAAGGAAGAGAAAGTACTGAAATAAGAAAGACAGAAAGATAAACAGATAAAAGTAAAAAAAATAAGAGAAAATATGAAAAGTAAGGGATAGTAGTCAGAGATTGAGGTTTTTGGTATTTTTGAACGTATTTATAGACCTTCGGGCTCTATAAATGATGATTAGCAAGAGAGTGCACTTCTAGGCGATAGTTATTCAATAGTTTTGAGGCTGTTGAATGTCCGTTCGAGCTTCGAATTGTCACAATCTTCTCCTTCAACTGATATAGGGCAATAGCTAGGCGATCATAGAAAACAGCTTCTTAGGGCTGTTGACTCAGTTTCGAGCTTCGCAGTTGCGTATATCCTGATCTGTACGTCTACTGATCAGTGTCGGTTGACTTGGTCATTACCCTAAGCAGATATCCTATCGATTCAACTGAATATAGGTATATGCTCGGTAGGTAAAGGTAAAGTGTCATTCTAAACTACAATCTGCCTAGCTATTTATAGTCCCACTTGTTTACACCTATGCATTCCTGATCCCTTGGTATGCCATTTGGAATGGTAGACCAGGTCTAGGCCAAGCAAGGTGCTGTGCGGTATGTGGATTAGGTCAAGATACTCCACTTCTCTGGTCTGGTTGATAACATCGTTCCAACAGTATTACTCAGTATGGTGAGTATGAAACCTATTATTCTCACATTCAAATCCATCCTCCAAACTGAACGTTCTAGATACAACATCATCTGTCCTTACTAGCTTCTGACTGGTCCAAAAATTCCTTAACAGGAGTGGCGCGCAGCCCTTGGAGAACACCAGTGCCCCATTCTAAGGCCTCCTCCCTGGGGTTGTGATTTGCATTCGTAAATCCAAGGATCCTCATCTGGTGGAAGGGTAAACCGGGACCATTCTCCTTGGATTCAACTATGTCCCTAAGGACTTCCGAAAAGGTCACTGGGTTTGACTCCCAGGCAGGGTCGCGTGATTGGATCAATTGGAAAAGCTCCCTGTAGGTCAAAGTGTGCCCAGACAAGAGTGTGACTGGCGATAGATCGGTACCGTTATTGATGCTGTCTCGTAAGACAGCGAGCACGGCCCGTGCTGTATCTGCAGTAGATGTCAAAGTTATCAGCATATGTACTTGATTTTCTAGGACGGTCGATGGCCTTCCCTTTCCGTTTTAGTGCTCACCTCTCGCCGCTTTTTGCTCACTGAGTAGACCTGAGCACGCCCTGAGCAGCCTGATGCGATCACTGAGCACAGGGTAAACGGAAGACTGAGTGCCTTAAATAAGTAACTTCAATAAACTGTACTCTAACTAGCGGTCTCCCCCTTGCCCGTTTCTCTATACTCCCTAATCCTTTTAGTACATCGATAATTTAGCAACGGTCTTATCTAGAATATTAGCCAGTAACGAGAGGCTACTGAGAATCGCTATAAAAATACACGTGATTTACGGACCGAATAAAATAACCACTAACCTAACCATAGTTTCACCAATTATATCCAAAAACACATAAATAGCACAAGGGCCTCGAAGATTAGAAAACTAGAACTTGACGCTCATGTTCGAAGGCCATGGATGTCCCCAGCATGCCTCCCCTCCGCAAGTGCATCTTGTGCATGACGGATAGATCGCAAAAATTGCATTTTCGGTCCATCAAATGCGATGGTTTGAAATGCCTCTTCACTTCATTATAGTCAGAGTATGCCTTGGGACATCGGAAGCATTGCGAATGTTTGCTCTGCATTCGGGATATCTATAGTGCCAGAGGTACGTTGCTTCTCCCACGACGCAGTGGGCGACGCATCAGTCTTTATCTTGCGAGCTGGCGGATATAGAACTACATCGTCCGTGCATATGCAGCGATTCGCGCCCTAACTTCGTATCAGGCCGCAGAATATCACTGGAAACCTGCTGGTCCAGGCATCGGATGAGGGTTGTCCGACTTACTTAACGCCGATCAATCCGGTGTTCTAACATATTAGGATATTTCCAATCCAATTTTCCTCCTTAATCAGGCCTACAAGGCCCTTATTTATACAATAGGCTTGCTTTTGGAGCGTGACCCTTGCGACCTCTATAGCGTAGATAAAGATAAAGAGACCGATAGATAATAAAGGCGATATTCTTGAGATTATTATCGACTTAGTATATCAGGATCAAAACCATCCCTGGCCTGATCGTGAGTTTACTACTATCAAGGGCTATTCGCTCGTTTAAGGATAAATACCCCCAGAATCACAGGAAAAATCAGTCCTACGGTTTAATAGTTAACTCTGAATAGTCTGTTAATTCGATAAAGATCAATTTATCTAGCGACCCTCACGCTGTATCCATTTCGTCGTAGCCTATCTCGACGGATTCATGGTTCTAGCATGGCGCCACAATACAAAATTACAGCTCTATAACATTCTCAGTTTTCTCAGGCGCCCCGTAGGATGGCTTTCATTCAGTCCGAAGCTGGGCACGGATGACCCTTACAAGCGTGATGTGGATGCACCAGAAATCAGGTTCTAATCTATTCCGGAGCACCCCAACTAGGAGTTGGACCAAGGGCGCTTAATCAGGTCAGCTGCTGGCTTGTGGTGGCCGCTCGCTTGTGAAATACGTTACAACTGGGATTGCTGTCACGGGAGCCTTCTGTGAGCCTGACAAGGAGGGTCTTCCATTGTTGCTGCCAATAATTGTCATTTATAGAGGTGCTAGAGACATCAGAGTTACTCAGGAACCTCGAAAACAACCATGTCAACACTCTATCCATAAATATGTAGCCATTCCAACCGCTCCATTCCATCCCAAGACCAACCCCGACACTAATCCTCATCAATCCCACCAACAACCGAATCGGCTCCTAAGCACAATGAGCCGTGGGCCCAGAACACTTGTTACAAGACGCCAGAAGAGTTGCCTCAGTGCCGCTGGTACAAACGTAAAGGCCATTAGGTTTTCCAACGCCGGCCCAGCCTAGATAAATCAGTTGCCGTCAGACAATCTTTTGTAGGGCCTGGTATACTAACCGAGGGTATTCTTCAAATACCACCCACAATATGTGTAAGTTGGTTTACAATTCCTAGCCGCAAAGGGCATGCTGTTGTCGTTCGTGCCGACAGCCGCTGTTTCACCGGTGACATTGATGTCCGCCTGAGCGGTGGCTAGGGCTGCGAGAGCAAGGGTGCTGCTGGTGAAGAAGCGCATTTTGCAAGTAGGGCCTTGGTGGAACTAAAGGTGGATTTTGTTGCTGAAGTGGATTGTCGAGTGCAGGGTTGTGTTGGAGGATGAGACAGCTTCCACGTCGACTCGTGTCCCTTTATACTTGAGCTGTTCCCAATATACGATTCTAATGACACATCAAAAGAAAAAAAAAAAAGAGAAAAAGGCTGGTATCACTTTCTTGGTTCCATATTCCATTCGTGCCTTCTTGTCATATGAAGGCTAAAGGCGCAGTCAGATCTCGTATTCGGACTCGGACGGTGATGCATGAATATAGTGATGAATCCACTGGAACTTGATGAGAAATAGAAACGGGGGTATACAGGTGGCGTACTTTCTCCTGTCAAAGGGTTACATCGCAGGCCAAAATTGGACTTTCAGTTACATTGCCAAGCACCTTGCTGTTTGCTGTATGCAGTAGCTGTAATAGAGCCCGCGATCAGATGTGCTACAAGAGATGTCTTTTATCAAAAGGGAAGTGACAGTAGCAGTAGACAAAGGCCCAAACAAAGCATCGCCTCAAACAATGCGCAGAATATCCGCCCTACCCCAGAAAACACCTATATAACCCTCATCGACTCTCCAAACCATGTACCTAAGATTCGCGAACTAGGCCTAGCGCTGATATACTCTCCCCCACAGTGGCAACGAGCTAAGTCGTCAGAAAGTTACTAGTGCTGATCAACTCGTAATTGGCTTGTATGCTTAGCCAATCTGACGAACTATCGGGCCTTCTGCGCTCCTAAAGACCGAGGCAGGCGTCTGTTTTTTCGTTGCTCTTATCGCCTGAAATACCCAAAATAGATGGTAATAAGCTTTAGAAAGCAAAAGTACATGAATACCAAGAAGCCTGGGGTAGTCACTCACCCAAGTTCTATAGCCAGCCACCGTATCACTCTCGCAGGATATCACCAAGATCGGACGAGAACTGTCTCGACAATATATGGCCCTTGATTTCCAGGGGTAATAAGGGCTTAGCACCAATGCTGAAAGGCCCTTAGCTGCATATAAGTTCAATGGGCTTAGGCACCCGTCTTCTCCTCCTCTCCCTCTCTCATCACTAAGTATCATCCCAGATAAGTATATAAATAGGGTCGTGTTAGACCGACACCCCCTACGTTATCCCGATACCCCCATTTCCTATTTCGTTTAGCGTGGCCATGTGATATGGAAATTTGGCACTTAGTATAATTGTTTGAACAGGACATTTATTATTCTTTTAATCGTACAAAAAACGCTGCATTTATTAAACAATCACAGGCCTCTATTAAGAATTCGAATTCTATCAGTTCTCGTCCTCTAACCACTGCGCTGCCTTGCTACGGCCAGCTCGTTGACTGCGTTATAGTAGCTCAACTTCTTCTTTCTCGCTAATTTCCCTGTTTTCTTCGCTGGTTAGTACCTCATTCTCGTTATCGCTGTTTCTATCATCTTTACTAATTTCAATCGTTTCAGTAGAGTTTCTTCTATCTCTAAAACCCTATTTTCTGCGTCTTTTACGTTTTTGTCTTTCCTGATTATTCCGCTTTTGGCATCTGACTGGTTATTCTTAAGATAATTTGTATTCAAACGCAGATAGTTCCCGCTGTATAGAGAAATCCTGAATAATTGTATTTTGTGTTATTTCTATCTCTGTCTCTGCTTCTGTTGCTCGATTTCTTGATCCGATAGGACGTTTACGATAACGCTATACAACTCGTGACTCAAGAACTAGCGATCTCGGGTCAATAGGTAAGAAATATTCATCCGTATAAAAATGCTACTGGCAGTCAAACTTAGCAATTCTTATAAGCTTTTTCCTATCGTAGTAACGCTTGATAATGTAAATACACGGTAGACCTATAGTATTTAACGTTATACCTGTGCATTTCTCAATTTGTTGCTTACCCGGCCCCTTCACTGGAAGATAGCGAATCATTATCGTGTGTACTTTATTCAGTACTTTTGAAGAGACCTTATTTAATACTTGCAAGAAGATAGGCATCCGTAAATGGTGAGAACGTTTCTAACAGTTATCTTCAATAGAATTCTATACCTTGCGATAGCAATCAGTAATAGTAAAAACGATAGATTGTGCAGTACCTAAAAGGTCCTTTATAGATATCAAAAGGTCTTTCTTTAGTATCTAGTGAGCGTTTTCATTCCGTGAAATTATTTCCTGTCCAAAATGACGAAATTCATTTGTGTAAAATTTAATGAATCGTTTTGCCGTATCCTCTTCAAGCCAGTTTTTATCTAAATAAGTATAGATTAGCTACTAAACGTTACCACTATATTCTGTTTTGAAATTAGCAGTTGTGGTAATAATTTCTTCCTCTAAAGTAAAATTAACAATCTGCATAAAAAAGCCAAAAAAGGACTTTCATTCGTTTTCTACCTTGTTGTTAAACTCTTTATTATCTTGGGTACGGCGACTATCACGTTTATATTCAATCCGGATAACTTTCTTTCGAAAAATTGGGCGACATTTAGTCATAATAACTTTCTGGATATGCTAAATACAGAGAATATAGTCTGTAAAGTTAAATTTCTTCTTAATTGCGTTATAAAGGCCTTTTTCCTTGTTGATAACGATTATTCGGGAATAGTCACATTTATAATGAAATAACGTATCAGATAGGCATTTAAGAATAAATCTATACGTATTCTCAGTCTCGTTATATATAAAGCTAAACGCTGCGTAGAAAGTATCTCCTGTTACTGTCATCCTAACGATATCCAGTAAAGGCATCTGGTATCGATTCGTTTTGTAGGTTGAATCCATGAAAAGGACTCTATAATTTATACGTAGCAGTTCAATGCAACTTTTATAAGTAATAAATATAGCTTTAACAATATCATCTTTATCTTTCTAGTAGTTGACAATCCAATTTCCGCTTGCTAGAAGAGCAAGTAGTAAACACTGAATTAGCATTTTATTATCTAGAAATTCCTGCCGTACCTGGTGATAGAGATTATGGATATCTCTGTCGATAATGCTAATAGCACCAGTTTGCTGCAGAGAAGCAATGATATAACGTATTAGAAAGCCAATTTGAAGTTAAGCTTTGATCTGTACAGAATTTTTAGCTATTTTCTGGCGGCGAATAGTTGTGACGGTCTACAAAGGAGCTTAGTAAAAGGCAAGTTTGTTTATGACTCGTAGTCAAGGAATTTTCCCATAGGGAGGAAAAGGCTATCTAGGAGAGAGAATCCAGGGACTCTATATACTGCCTGGAGCTTGCCTCAGGCAGGAATGCCTGCAGGATCCCTTGATCCTCCGGGACGTTCTCCCCAAGCCCCCTGGCTTCAGGAGGTAACAATAGTAACATGAGTTATAGCAGGCGATAGATTATGATTATAACAGTATTCTTTAATTTTAACATTCTAAAGATCATTATCTTAAAGCCTTGTAATGATCTCAAATGGGCAGTTTATCTTGATTATACTAATTTTGCGTTTTCGCTGGCCTTCTTCAAGACGACAGTTATATCGATTTCCTCAGTCACATTTAATCTATACATTCTTTATATGGGAGCCAGATTTGACCTTTTTAATACGCTTTTTATTGACTGTATAGCTATAATTATGTCTATAAGCATTGAGGATTTCAATAACTTCATCATATAAATCGAATTGTTAAGTTTGTAATCTAGGGGGAAGAGGAATACGATCATAAAGTTACTCATTCAATTCCTCTTCTTCGAATTGTTCATTCCACTGCTTGTTGGGAGGATCGTCGCTCTCGTAGCCTTAAAAATAGCCATTTAATAAAGCTATTATTACTGTATACAGTAACGTACTGCAGTAATAATGACGGTAACAGCGATAGCAACATACAATATTCAACATTCGCACTTGGTGGCGAATATACAGCTTACCCTATAATAAGAGCCCTGAGCCCTATAATACAGCCAAAAAGGAAATTCGCGCGGGGCCTAAGCCTGAATAGGACTAGTACATCACGTGGGGGTGTTGGGATAACGTAGGGGGTGTTGGGATAACGTAGGGGGTGTTGGGGTAACCGGGGGGGGGGGGTGTCGGTCTAACACGACCCTATATGTACTACACCACCTCAGTGGTTCCACCTAAACGGGTGTTGTTTGATTGTTTCAGTCCCATGCCAACACCTCTTCTTGCCGATCACGTCCCTAAACTAACAAATCCGGCTGGCATCTGTCATAATACAGCCGTTATCGCATTCCAAGTTCGTCTATGCCTCACAACTCTGCTGAGCTGCCGCGAAATAAATTGGAAGTACGCGCATTTCTTGGCAGGCGAGAAGGGATGAGAAACGAAGAAAGGGCTATTCAAGTCTTAGCCTGTCTTTTTTGCTGTGGTATTTGGTCAGGATAGCCCGTCTAATAAATGCCTGGGGTTGGTTGTCTGGTTAGACGGTGCCGAGCACGATAAGATTGTCGAGATCTTTCTAGAGGGCCAGTAAGTACACGCACAGTCATAGGCTAGAGGATTGTAGCAACCTTTTTCACGGTCAAAACTTCTACTTAACACGTCTGCCTATTCTGCACAACTATAAAGGTTCGATATTCCTCTCCGGGACTCTTGCAGATATAATAGTATAGCCCGTTTCTTTCGTGCTGTGTTGGAGGCTTCCTTTGTCTGGCTGCGCACGCTAGTCCCCATGTAGCTAGTTATCACCTGATCTCAGCCGTCTGATACTGTGGCAGAAATATGTGGGTCTACCGAGAAGCGATTATTCAACTAAGGAATAGGATCGTTTTCAACTGAATGAAGGTCTTGATTCTTTCTAACTACACGATAAAGAAGCCAATATTTATGCAGGCTCAGGGCTTCAGGATCGTCATAAAATGAGCGGAATTGCATGATCTATATCGTCATAAATCATACGATTTTATATTGATCGGTTGCATGATCGGTCCGGTCAAGCAAGGCGATGATATAAGCGGATTAGTTATCTCACGCGGCCACAGATACTTAAAGCGGGATAGAGATCACTACGTGTAGGATTCAAGCGATTCTATACCGATCGATCCGGCCATATTATTCCATCCTCTGTCATGCTATAACATAAAGAGATTCGAGTGTCCATTCTGGTCTCGTGTAGATTCGGGTAGCAAGATAGTATCTTCTCGAATCTTATTAGATGCCCCGGATACAGCGACGTATATCCGTAATGCGTGTGTGCCGATTCCCAGTCAGAGTCTAAGGCTTGCGAGCCAAAGCAATGCAGCTAAATTGAAGGCTCTCTGCTCCCCCATCCATGTTCAACTTGATGATTCTCTTGATACCCATGTTAAACGCTCGTGGACTGAGAACGTCCTCGTGGTCAGCAAGACTTCCTCTCTCCAGAGGCCCAGTCCTCGACCCTTCAAGCTCCCAGAGCTTCCCACCGCTCTTGACAAAGCTCACAAAATGCCCACCATCACGCTCACCCGTCGGATCTGCATAGCTGTCGCCGGCCTGCTCGACCGACTTGTGAGCAAGTTCGAATGGCTCGCTGTTGTATAGCATTTCGGCGCGTTTAGTCATATCCAGCGGTATGGCGAGGCTTCGTATCGCCGCGAGATCGGAATCAGGTTTGATGAAGTCGACAGCCGGACCGTTGATCAAGCTATGGAGCAGACCAATCGAGCCGCAGGCGTGGCCGATGGTCTGCTTGAACCAGATGACTGGCTCGTCAGGGCCAGAGCCAGTGTATGGTTCTTCGTTAGCGTCTTCGGCCTTGCGACTTCGATCCCAAGCTGGTGTAAGTGGAATGATGACCAGCAGAGCCAGAGCAGGTCGAGGGATATGTGCGAGTTGTTCGGGTTCGTCCAGGGAATAGACGTCGTAGAATTGGAGCTCGGACGATAGACCCAACTTCGCTGCCAATTGGTTCATTACATCGGGGTTGTTCTCTGCCATTTGCGATGAGTTTCTACTCAAAGACAAGTGAAGTGGTCCATGAGGGCTTAGGTCCCTTACCAAGCATTGACCATGTCTTCTTTTCCATTTTGGGGAATCAATAGGTAGAGAACGTCGAAAAGTCAGAACTCTTGGCAGGAAGGGGATGGTGTAGAGATCGCAGGATCTGAATGGAGTTGCGGGATGAATGGTTCAGATCCACGGTTATGTGGGGAACACTTCAATATTGGTGGAGCTCAGCGGAGGCGACTATCCTGTCGCAACGCAAAATTACCTGACTTTGTCCCTAGGCCAAAAAAGTGCAAACTTACACTTACTTCCAACCTTGGAAGGTTGGTAAGGTATTTTAGTTAACTAACTAGTTAGTTACTGCTCACAAGCGGTGGGGCGATTCCCGCATATGATAGGCTGGGACGGCGAATGAATAATACCGACACCGACATTGGAACGTGGAGGACAAAAGCCAAGTCGGAGGTCCCGAATCCCGAGTTCCGAAACTGGCTCGGAAAGCTTGCCAGAATAGACTCTTTAGGCTTAATACAAGTTAGTCATTGAGGTCATCCCGCCTTGACTGGCGATCGACAAATAATAATAGACTAACTAGAGTTTGGGTCTAGTTAGTCGAGAAAATTGCACCAAAATCGGACGACATGGAAATATCCTCTCTTCATCCATAGTCCACTGAGTTAGGGATGCTTTTCCTGACGAGAACATGAGCCCCTCGACTGGTAAAGGAGCGTCTCATCGGCGCACCTCCCTGACATGCACCTATTGCGAGCGTGCGTTCTCGCGCACCGAGCATCTCACGCGGCATGAGCGCTCTCGTAAAGTTGAACCCGGATGATGCTTGGCCTTCGCCAACTAACTCACCGTCTCAGACCGGAACGAGAAGCCATTCGGCTGCAACTACTGCGACGCCACGTTCAGTCGGAAGGACGTGATAAAGCGACATCACCTCCGATATCATCAAGCTATTGCTGAGATGGTTGGCGTGACGTCCGAGCCGGCTTTGCCGACATCTCTGCATCTCGCACCACCTGCACCCGTGCAGCCAGTCATCATGTCACCTTCACCCCAGGACGTATTCCTTGATTTCTCACAGGGAGAGAACCTGGCTGTTGCGGCCCTGAGTAGCCAGGATGGACATTCTGGCCTACTCATGAATAATTATATCATTGATGATTTTCCTCCAGACTTGGACTTTCAGTCAGCACCAGATGAAGGGCATGCAGGTAATCTCTCTAGGCAGATCTAGCGTGTTGCCATGATGAATTGTTCGAGGCTGATGTTTATCGCTCCAGGCACCTCCATGCCTGGTGGCCTTACCGGTCGGCCTCCAGACCCACCTTTCTGGAGAGGCTCCCTCGAACTGTCGGAGGAAAAGAGAGGTCAACTGTTCACAGAGACGAAAGATGTTTTGAGAAAAGTGAGCAGGAGAAGCACCACCGCTGTCTGGATTCTTCCTAATCTTATTTCTGCAGGCAGGAATCGGTAACATAGCGGAATTTCCGACTCGTTTGAGCCTAGAGAGATTCCTCGTGACTTTCTTCGAATGTTTCCTTGATTACCTCCCATTCATTCATGTTCCGACCTGGCAAGCCGAGGCGGCACATCCTTGTCTTCTCTTAGCGATGCTTGCGGTTGGCGCAGGGCCCTACAAAGAATACGATATTGCCCATGCTCTTTATTACGCAGCAAGATTTTTGATTATGACATATGTATGTTATGGATATCCATATCAAGTTTTGTTATTAACCTATGTCAGCTTGGAAACACTCCTTCATCGGCCTCCGAATACCCTCTCTGGGTGATGCAATCGCTGCTTATCACAATCTCGTATGGCGTTCGTAGCGGTGAACGAGAAATGTTTAACGACGCAGTTTCATGGACCTCGTCCCTAGCAAATGTACGTCTGGATCGAATATACAATTGAGCCATTGCACTAAGCATGATATGAATCCTAGGCTGTTCGCTGGGGTTCGACACCAGACAAGTATCGCGACCTAGAGCACGAGATACAAGGATCATGGCAGGATTGGATAGAGGATGAGATGGCTGTTCGGTACGGCTCCGCACAAGCACTCTTTTATTTATTCCATGGAGGCCTTACAATCATCAAATAGGACCCACTGGGCTGCCTACACAGTTTTATGCGTTCTGACCGTCTGCTTCAATATCCCTCCAGTACTGATGGGTCATGAAATGAGCCACGTTCGGCTACCGTGCAATGAATCAGAGTGGTCAAGCGCTACTTTTGAATCATGGATCAAGGCCAGGATGGGCCGCTGTCGAAACTGCCCATGTTTTGGAGAAGCGCTGGAGATCCTCCTTGGTTCAGTAGAACTGCAAAGTGACACCATCAGCGTTTTCGGAACTTACGTGCTCCTGCATGCAATTTTACAGAATATCTGGACGTTGAGACGGAACATCTGGCTAGAACCAATGCATCTCGCGAGCTGCTTACAGAAAACAGACCTTACTCTTGGAAGGTGGCATTCGTGCTGGGCGGGAAACGTAGAATCATCCGTGTCACCGCGAAACCCTCACAACGCTGTGACTGCAAATCCAGCAGCACTCTTTCGCCTGGCATATATGTGGGTCGGAGTTGATTTCTCTTCGGTACGGGCTGCCATTGCCTCGCATAACCCGGAAACGATAGAGCGAAGCTTCAAGCAGCTGTCGATCCCAATAGCAGAATCGGACCTGACTTTGAAGATCATCAAGCAAGCAGTCGGCGCTCTTAAGACACGAGTTAAATTAGGAATGACGCTCAGAGAGCAACGGCTGGGCTGTTTTCAGAGTCTAGAAGTCCATCTATTTTCCCTGGAGTGCTGTGAGTACAACTCTCGGCGTTTGATGGTCTCGTGTACCTAGCTAATCAACTCTGAAATTAGGCCTTTTCGCTTGTGCATGGTTGAAGGCGGCAGAGAGCCGTCCCGAGCTAGAGTGGTCAGCCGACGAAGCACAAGTCATCCGGCTTGTCCGCGAGATCTTGTTTGAAGTAGATTTGCCTGCCACTCGTTCTCAAAAGCCAGATGCCGTACGAGTAGTGTATGCCTGGGCATTGATATTGAAGCGTCGCGCGGTATGGAAACTCCAGGAGATAATTGCAGATTCACTGGAGCAGTTTGCGGATAGCTTTTAATCTACAGGGCTCCCGATATAGGGGTCATCCAAGTGGGGTTGAGTCATTGGGGTTTCTCGGTGGGGTGGGACTCATTCTTGGGGGTGATTCAAAGTAGGCGGCTCATGTACTTGTATTTACCTGCCCCATCGGAGAACTACCCTATGATAACCTTTCAAATTATATATCTCTCTGTTACAGTGCAAGTCCAAAAAATTTCGGTTGCTCACATCTGACTCCACCTTTTTTCTCTCTTCTGTTGCCCGAACAGAAAGCGGTCGGTGGGGGTTTGCTTATCTCCTGCTGTATAGCCGAGATATTCCGTTATCCCAAGCATAATATTGCGAGTGGAAGGATGAGCGAGGAAAACTAAGTAGCTACAGTATTTTTTCCGGTAAAGTTTCGTAGGCTTATTGTTCGCAAGAACGCCCCAGACCAAGGGATCTGCGAACCGGAAGGAGGAAAACCTGACGGGGATACCTTTGTCCTCAATCCTCTTGTAAAATTAGATGATTTCGAATTTCATCGCCTCATTTGCGTGTCGGTTTCTGTTTGATAAAGTTGACAAGGTGCCGAGTCCTGAAAAGCATCCAAATGGATACATACAACACTTCTCGTATTCCAATTACCGGGTGTGTCTAGTGGGCGTTTATGAGAATTGCCAGCTTGCTATTTGTATTTGTCCACCATCTCGGGCGCTCCATCATTTACCCCGTGGCCGACGCATTTTCCACCCTGCGCCGAATCGCCGATCGCTTATCCTCAGCAGATATCCGAGCCGCACAATGTTATATAAAGATCCGGGCCCGGTGGGATGATCATTCTCCATGCCTTTTCATTTATTCTCCCTATCACACCACGATTGTCCGACAGGATTTTGTTTTCATGTCTCTCTCTGGCCTTGTGGTTGTCGTCGCTGGTGCCTCCAAGGGCATCGGAAAGGAGATTGCCCTGCGAGCCGGTGCTGATGGAGCCAAGGTAGTCATCAACTACCTGTCGGACATCAAGGCCGCGACCGCAATTGTCGCGCAGCTTGGGCATGAACGTGCCATTGCAGTGCAGGCTGACGTTTCGAACCCCGCTGAGGTGGACGGCTTGATTCAAGTCACTGTAGCCAAATTCGGAAGGATTGATATCCTGATCCCCAACGCCGCGTATGTCCCCCAAAAAGATCTACGGAACGTGACAGAGGAGGACTTTGACCGGGCTTTTGCTGTCAATGTCAAGGGTCCTTGCTTTTTAGCAAAGGTGGGCGGTCCCAAATCCTTTAGATTCGCTTCCCCAAACACTTTTTCGGGAAGCGTGTTGTGGCAGTTGCCCTCTGAATCAGAAATCATGTTGACGAAGTTCCAGAAAGCACTTCCGCACATGACTCCCGGAAGTAAGATCATTTTCATTTCGACGGACATGACAGACGCTTCTGTTATACCGCCTCAGTTCCTTCTATATGTGTCCACCAAGGGAGCAATGAATCAGATGGTTAAAGTTTTGGCACGGGACCTCGCCAGCAGTGGAATCCGTGTCAATGCCATCGCCCCAGGGGCGACAAGTACAGACTCCTTCCATCGAGTGGTGGACGAGAGCAAAGAACGGATGCTTGCGAGCCACAACCCGTTCAACCGTATTGCAAATGCAGAAGAGATTGCCGCAGGGGCCAGTCTCCTCTGGGGGAAGGACAGCGACTGGATCTCCGGGCAGGTTCTGAAGGTGAACGGTGGTAGTATTGTCTGATTAATAGATATGCGAAAATATACGGAAGAGTAAATGAAATTTGTCCCCGGAAATGCAAGTCTGTGGATTTTATTGAGCTAGCGACTAAAGAATTAAGTAACTTCGCCCATTAATCAAGTTCACGGCTTCGTGGGAGCCCAAATTATCAAGACCAAGCTCGTACAGTACTCCATTGATAGAAAAAGCGAAGTTCAGACGCAAAAGGAATGGATGAGTGGGCTGATATTCGCTCGCAGAGATACCTTGCGTGTTAGAAAAGTAAACATCGAGTTTGATAACAATCACTTTAACTTTCCTCGGCTGTCAGAGAAAGCGGAGAAACAAAGCTTGTTGTTCTTTAGAACATATTAGCCGTGTCCCGCTGTTCCGACTTACCTCCGGACATACGAAGACGATGGGTGGATCAAATTTGCACTCTCGGATGTACATCTTTGACATGTCCCATCAGTAATCGGGCTTTCGCGCTGGTTTCTACGTGAATTTCCCGAGTGGCCGAAGACACATGATCTGTTCGGTGGGGAAACGGAGATGTAAAAGTGCTCAGACGCTTTAAAGCCCGAAGACACACGATCTGTTCGGTGGGGAAACGGAGTAAAAGTGCTCGGATGCTTTAAAGCCCGAACTGCTCCGCTAACATGACTGAATGACAGACCCCGGAACGCATAGACGTAGAAATTTGACAAGGGTGAGAATTCTGGGCGTCGGTCGCAGAAACATGCCTGGAATTCGCCGTGGAGATTGCGTGCGAGGTGTATATAATCGTTGTTGTGGACAGCGTAAGTTTTTGCTCAGAATTATACCTCCTCAGCCTTGATTAAGCGGTCTCGCTAGGTACCGCCAGATTTGTCAATAATAATAATGTCCGACAATCCTTGTACCCAGGGGCACAAGATAATGCGACTTCCTCCCCCCTCTGGCTTGAAAGTCATATCCCCTGCACCTGTTTACGATGTAAATAAGTTTCCGGACGAGAGGACTCAGACGCTGCGTGCTCTACTTGAGAAGGGCCATGTTACCGTTGCTCCGCTACGCGATCCAGAGTTGATCCTTCATAGTCACCTGCCGCACGTATGCTGATTCCCTGCAAACTGATTCAAACATGAATCTGTCATATTTTTCAGAGAGCCTCGCAACTAACTCTAGACCTACAGCTTCTAGGTTCTGCGTATGCGCTAGGCGCGGATAGCGAGCAGCTGAAAAGATCTTATGAGCATGAGATTACACAGCTTGTGCCGATTGCTCGCGGTTTCATTCGAGGCAATGCGATTTCCAAGGAAAATTGGAGAGATTTTCTTAACCACAAAGAGTTTGTAGTCCAGACGACAAATTTTGGAGATTAGATATTCGATTGCTCACTGTGAATTCAGGTATACCGTTGCATTCCAGGACTTTTTCGATAACGAAGTAAAGAAGAAGCAAGGAGATTGGGGCAAAGTTCTGGAAGAATATCTTTATTCAGGTCCCAGCCCACTCGTCAACGGTTGTACCGGAGGCCGTAAGTTAATCAATCTTCTGCCCTATGAAAGAACACATCGACACACGGTGACCCTGACAAGCGTTTAGTTGGCCATCCATTCATCCACCTGGCCTATGCGTATGAATTCCGCAGTAAGGAGGTAGCGACCCAAGCCTTGAGTCAAGGCTGTACAGAGTACAATCCAATTCATCTTTTCCTGGATCAGCCTTCGCCAGACACTTCGACGTACAAGACAAATTCACTAGCGACAATTTTTGAAAAAGTGCGCACAGATTCCAGATTGGACAATTTGTTTGAAAGCCCTGGGTACAACAATCTAGAAGTCTTGCAGGAAGCACGGAATCTCGCCATCATGTTGGAGCACTGGAATGCGTGGGAAGTGGCTGATCCATTGCAGCAATTTGAGGAGTGCTGTGACCTCTCGGTCCTACTCTCCATAAGCAATGGCAACCCAGATGTTTCCTTCGATTTTTTCAACGCGCATATCATGACTGTTGCGCATGCACTGCGAGTCCTGTGGCATTGCCTCCCCCCGCAGAGGCGCGTCCCAGTCCTGCGACAATATGCACTGTTTGGGATCATGACCTATGTCTGCCAACTGCGTCCGAAATTTGCCATTGAGTGGATTGAAGCTGTCAAAATAGATGGCCGGGATTGGCAGTGGGTTATTGACACTGCGTTGCCCGATAAGTGGGCTTTGGATGTCCACTTTTTCAAAGTTATCCGAGCTCCGAAGGCCTTCGAGGAAACCTTTGGTCGTAAGGATGACTTCTACCTGAAAGCTGCGATCAAGTATGTGACTGAATTTCGGGGATGGAAAGGGCACGGTAAAGGCGTTTCTGGAATTTCTCCGGTCGAGGATGAGTAGAAGGCAGGAACAGAAAGTGAAGTTTCGAATTGTTCCTGGACAGTGAGGGACCAGATTACTTCAGTATCCAAATCTAGCTAGCATTGAGAATGTAGTAACAGAATGAAACTCGCATGCCATCATTTTAGGTCAAGGCGTCTAGAGAGTTTTAAAATTGTTGACATTCATTTGGACTCTTTCACTTCAGTGCTACAAGACGTTAAGGCCAGGTACGGCCCTTAAAAGGGATACCCATCAATTTCCTGGTCGATGGCTTTCCACCATCAGCGCCGACGAGAAAGGCACCGCGGAAGTATTCCTCCTTTCCATTGAGTGCCCGCGTAGTAGCAACAATTTCGTGCTCTCGTTCCTGAATGGCACACAGCTCCCGACCGAAATGAACTGTGACAAAGCCGGTGGCTATGGCGTGTCTATACAAGAGTTTCGCCAAATCACACTGGGGATAGATAACACCATAATCAATGCCGTCTGCCTCTGGGAAGGTTAAGCAGGCGCTGGTATCCTTTAATCTCTTTCCACCGCTACCGTCATCGGCAATGGGCTTTCTCCAATATAGTCCGTGGGTTGTAAAGCCCTGCTGTCTCACCGATTCAAAAACATTGACTTTTCCAGCGCCATCAAAACTGCAGCAAAATACCCAGCCGCACACGGACGGTCTGTGAGTTTCTGTTATTTCTCGAAGACATCGACTTTAATCCCAGCCTGCCCGAGCCGTAATGCCGTCAGCAGCCCGACAGGGACAGCTCCAGCCACGAGAACCGTTTGCTGTGGGGGTGAGCTTCCATGGAATGCTGCGAAATCTGAAGGTTGGGCTTTTCCGGAACCCTTGGAAGACGCCGTCATTGTTGGGTAAATAAGATGATGCGTTGTCCTGGTGGACAGAATGTATGTTGCTTGATCTTACTGATTAGCGGAGACTCGGTTATGACCTGGATAGTGATTTCATCTCAGATGACCTAGGAAGCAATATTAATAATAATAATAAAGGATTAAATCGCCAAGGGTTTGCTAAACTAGATGATGGCTTCCTCATCTGGGACCACGTAGTGTACCAAGCAGATCCTATGGATACAGTGAGCCGCAAGCAACCGAAGAAGTAACGGTAAGTACCCCACCGATAGCGCCGGCGCGATTCCGCTTGGGGGACCATGTTTCCCCGAATCTGAAAATTGCCGCATTCCCAGTTTTTGATTGTATTGAGGGGACGTTCTTTGGGTCGTTTTGCTAATGACAGCTGATGATGGTGGGGTTTGTCAACCCCGCCTGGCTCGTCGGGATGAAATGAGACATGGTGATCAACCCACAAGATCATCAGTGGCCTTATATCAAGCCTGGATCATACCGGCGTGGATAATGCAGCAGACCATAAAAGGAATCGGACCCTGTGGAGACTGTCCGAAAGAGGTATTTTTTCGAATCTGCCAGGCTCATTCCTCTACCACCATGGCTTTTCCATACAGAAAGATTCTCATCCTCGGGGCTACGTCTGGTGGGTACTACCTTCCCGTGCTAGACTCCTACATACAATCCCTCTTTATTGGATTATTGGAGATGGCAATATACCAAAAAATTCCCAGGGTTAACGGACATTCCAAGGTATCGGTCGCGCTTTGGCCGCAAGTCTTATCCGAGATGGTCGCTTTGTGATCGCAGTTGGTCGACGAAAGGAAAATCTGGATTCCTTTGTCCAAGAGCAGGGCACGGACAGGGCCGTATCTTTCCAATTTGATATCAGCCGGTTGGATGAAATCCCAAGCTTCGTGAAGAGGTACCTCATTTCATCGGCTTACAAGTCCTTCCGAGATTGAGCGTTTACATACTCATGAAGTTTCCGTTGGCGTGGCTAGTGTGACATCGTCCCATCCTGATTTGGACTGCGTCTTCGTCAACTCGGGTATCCAACGCCGCTCCGTTTTTAATGAGCCAGAAATGATCTCTATGAACGACATCCAGGATGAAATGACGGTAGGTTGAAGAATTGGCGTGCGCCGACAGCATCTTTGCCTGGTACTGAGCAGGTCTTATTTTAGGTCAACTACATTTCCTACGTTGCGATGGCTAAAGAATTTTTGCCTTTTTTCATGGCTAAAGAGAACATCCCAACATCCCTTATATTGTAAATGGTTTATAAGTAAATTCAGTATTGACATATTACTAACAGACGCGCGTCAGCACCTCTTCAAATCTTGCCCTTGTTCCCATTCTCCGCTGCTCTAACTACTGTGCTTCCAAGGCTGCTCTTCACCATTGGATCTTGTGTCTGCGTGAACAGCTCAAGGGCACAAATACCAAAGTCATCGAGATCTTTCCCCCAATTGTACAAAGTACGTATAAATGACGATTGGACTATTCCTGGTGAAACAGAAAGAATAGATTGGAAATTGCTAACCTTGTTAATTTGCAGCCGAACTCCATGATGCAAAGCACCAGCCCGATATGGGGCACGCAGGGAAAAGTTTTGGCATACCGGTAGAACAGTTTACTGAAGAGGTGGAGTTGCCCCCCTTGACCTGTTATACATCAGGTTTTGACACTTTCTGCGACTTATTTTTAACTTGATTATGCAGACTATGGAAAAGCTTCATGCGGGGGATGACCAGATCGCCGTAGGGTTATCTAAGATTGCCTTTGAAAGCTGGGAACAGCAACGCCAACGAGCGTTCCACCATGTGGTAGAGTTGATGAAGAATAGTGGGTTTTGATCTGTACTTCACCGGGGAAGTTTGAGTTTGGAATCGGTGGTGTGCTTTGGCATTGGACAATATTCTAAACTTCTTTGGCTCTTTGAGGATACAGTGGAAGTAGAATTCTCGCAATCCTTCCTTCAATTTTAGACACCATTCTTTGCCACTACATCCATATCGCTTTTATAAAAAGCATCGTCGTAGCTCCAGGAGAGCAGCAAGATCTATTTGCACTTACATTTGACGAATTTCCACAGTTATAAAGAAGTACAGCTTAGCGGCGACGTGCGTATTTACAGATAAAAGGTACGGAATGACAGGCCTAACGGTTCAGTTCCCAATAACGAACGACCGCACCTCCAGAGCTACATACTGTTCGTTTCCCCTTCTCTCACGATCAGTCCCCTTGGTTCCTCTCTTTCTCACATTGAAAATTGTTTTCCTATCTTGTGGCATCTGGAAGAACAATTAGACTTAAATAGGATAGCGAGAGACAATACAGAAGTATTATGCCAATGTATCGAGTGTAAGTCACCCCAATGCCAAAACGGCATAATGTATCCCGTACGTGGAGCAACAACTCTCGGAAAGGCCCCTTGAGACGAGGATATTGTAGCGAATAATCCCCACACAGATGACTTCTGGTAAGACAAGAATGGGGAAAGGAGGTAAGGAAACCCCAACTTTCGGAGTTTGCAAGTTAGGCTAGAGTCCGCGCTCAGAATTTCCCGAAGCAGGTGGCATTTAGGTAATATTTAATATTGCAGATGAAGTCAGTCACGCCTTTTGTTATTCCTTCACCTTCTCTCGTCATCCCAATAAACTGCTCCAACTTTTATTTCATTCATCCGCCGTGATACTCCGCAACACCATTTCGGATCCCCATGTCTGTCTCCTCTTGCTGCCTCCAGGGCTTTGAATGGGAGGGTATCCCCATGGGTCAGAACGGGAAGCTGGCCAACAACGACTCGTACATTGATGGGGATAACCACAACAATGCCATCATGATTGTCCACGACATCTTGGGCTGGGTGTTTCCAAACATACGATTACTGGCAGATTACTATGCGCGTGAAGCCAATGCCACTGTCTATGTACCTGACTTCTACGGTGGTGAATCGCCTCTATCTGGCCCTATTTTGAGTGGCAAGTGGCGCGAGATAGATGTCGACGGCTTCATGAGGAAGAGCACCCGGCAGATTCGGGAACCTGAAATTTTGGATTGTGCTAGGGCACTGCGAGTAAAGCATAAGAAGGTAGCTGCCGTCGGATTCTGCTACGGAGGTTGGGCAGTATTCCGTCTTGGTGCGAAACAACACGCCGATTTTCCCCTAGTGGATTGCATCGTGGCCGGCCACCCAATGTTTTTGACTAAGGAGGACATCGACAATGATACGGTTCCTGTGCAATTATTGGCCCCCTAACATGATCCCATGTTCACATTCGATCTGAAGGCGTATAGCTTCGAGACCATTCAGAAGGTAGGGGTGTCGTTTGAGTATCAACATTTTCCCGGCGTTCAACATGGGAGCCTGGTGCGTGGTGACAGTAGTCAACCTGGCGAGCGGGAGGCCATGGTTCGAGCGAAGTACGCGGCTGTTTCGTGGATCAAGGGGTTCCTTGTTGCTTGACAAATTTGTTCAACTAGCTTGAACGGCTGCCGGTGTAAAGCTTTCTACGGTGCTCTCCTTATAATCTCTCATTCCTTTTCAAGTAGAGAGCTCTTACTGTCTGTGTGTGTAATTCATTTACACTGACCCCTCACCGATTTGGATTATAAACCACAAGAAACTAAACTGGGTACGGATTCGTATTTTGGTCTAGTCAGGTAAACCAACTCGCGAGGGGTCAGGGTAAATGACTTCACACACGACCCCCGTACGTACAGAGTATCAATACATATGTTTCATAGGCATAAGGTAAGGATTGAATAAGCAGTGTATGTTGACTATTAATAAATAGTCTAGTTATAGTTGCACATCTAAAAAGGGTCCTGTTACCCCGACACCCCCACGTGATGTACTAGTCCTATTCAGGCTTAGACCCCGCGCAAATTTCCCTTTTTGGCTGTAGTATAGGGTTCTTATCATAGGGTAAGCTGTATATGAGGCACCAACCAGCGAAGAGAACGGGGAAACCAGCGAGGAAGAGTGCCACGGTGCAGACCTAAGGCACCTCCTGAGCGTGGCCCGGAAAGCCATATTGTCCGTTCCGAGATCATGTGATCTGTAGACCGCATCACTTCCTGCCTGCCTGAAGACCCTATTATAGCTCCTCGAGCTACGTCTTATCTATAAGCCTGTAGATAGCTTGACCCTGTAGCAATTCAGAGATACTGTGAACTATTAGCCTACCTGTTACCTCCTGAAGCCAGGGAGCTTCCCTGTACGGAGGAACGTTCTGGTTAGTTAGTATAGGATCAAGGTATCCTCCGCGGTAGGCATCCAGGAACATTCCTAGCATTCCTGCAAGCATTCCTGCCTGAGGCAAAGCCCCAGGCAGTATATAGAGCCCCTGGATCCTCCCTCCTAGAGAGCCTTTCCTCCCTATGGGAAAATTCCTTGACTACGAGTCATAAACAAACTTGTCTTTTACTAAGCTCCTTTGTAGACCGTCACAGCTGCCTCCTGCCCTTCCATTCATATAATATTCGCTGGGAATTTATTTCTCTCTTATCGAAAACCTGAACCAGAGCCGCACTGTTCCAGTAGCCCTTACTGCCGAGCAATTTACCGTGCTCTGCGGCCGTGAGTTCGGATATGGTTATTTTTGTGAGAATCATTTAGCCTGTAGCCAATCAAGGTCTAGTTTGAGAGTCATCAGAAAAAGCTCTCTCATGGAGGATTTACAGTGTGGTAAAACAATTTTTGCGGTTCACGCTCTCACACTAAGCTGGGTGTAGTGTTGAGCACAAGCAAGTCGCGCGTCCAGATCCAATAAGACCTTCATGACTTTGGGATGATGCTCGACCCGCAGGTTCCTTGTGTCCGTGTCAAATTTACCAAATGGTTAGCTGAGCGGGACTTGATTGGATGATCCTTGTGTATCTAAGTGTAATAGTGACAGCAACTCAGCCTTGATATAGATAACAGGTATTCTTGATCACAGGATTTTGAATTTGCCACCGTTTGCACAGACCACGCTTCCTGTCACCCAGTTCGCCCTCTCACTGACTAGTAAACCGGCAACATTCGCAATGTCCTCGGGCAGCGCCACTCCATCGATGAGATTTGAGCCGGACTGACGAGCATCAGTCGCCTTCTGTCGAAATGCGGTGGGAGCCTCTCGGAGAAGGGCATCTGTGGCGGTTGCACCAACCAGGAGAGCGTTCACAGTTGTACCTATTGTCATAGAGTTGGTGCCCAATATGTCAGCCCAAGACCGCGTGAGTGCTTCCATTGTTGCTTTGGTAGCTCCAACTAGATACATCTCTCTGCAAGAGTCAATTAATGTGTCCAGCACTCCCCTCCACCGGCTTCGTTCGGCCATATATAGGGAATTAACTTACGGGAATGGAATTCTGCGACCTGACTCGCTTGAGATGTTGATAATCCTTGAGTTCGGTTGAATGATGTTGTTGGCATAAAGGGCATCCATCAGCATGACCAAAGCATGTGTATTTCCCATCAATACCTTTCGCACATAGTCATCGTCGAGATTTCCCATTGCGCGCATTGGATCATAGGCGGCGTTGTTGATAACAATGTTCACTTTGCCTTCGAAATGGCCAATCAGAGCCTCCTTTATCAGCCTGGGACTATCAAGGGAGAGCACATTGGCGGCAACTCCAACAATTTTAGGTGCGTGGCCCTCAAAACCACGGTACAGGTCAAGCACCGTGCGGGTGAGTTCGTCAAGCCGATGTGCTGACTCAGGGGAAGAAAACGTTCCCAGAATTGACGCTCCTCGACTTGCAAGATGCAACGCTATCGCTCGCCCAATGCCTCGAGTTGCTCCACTAATTCATGTTAGTACCTAATACATGACTTTGCAGAGCACTTTTCAACGCGAGATCCCTCTTGATATCAGAAATGCAAGGAAATGGGGCAGTACGTCACGAGCGCTGTTTTCCCGCGTAGGTCCTGACCAAGTGGACGCGAGATGTTTGACACATCGCCGAGTGTTTCGAACGCCATTTCACTGTCTGCTGAAAAGGGGAAGTTAGAGTACAGTTGGATCAAGTCTGGGCAAGGGTTGGAAGCCATCCACATCTACGCTCTACGTGAAGATCTGCATTTATATTGACCGGAGCTAGCTCTGCTTGGTAGGCAGTAAGCATGGTCGCTATCCAGATAGCGGTGTTAGAGCCGTAGTGGAGAAACCGTCCTTCATCTTCTTGGCCCAAATAGTCCTCTCCGCGACCATGTAATGTCGAGTTTGGGCGGGTTTAAGCGGGTTTTGGTTATGCTTACTTAGACGATCGCCGAAGTTTGCTCGACAAGCTACACTACCCATACCATTTAACTGAGAAATGGCGCATTCACTCTCCGAACCCCGACAATTGCTCTTCTGTTTGTTTTTCACCGGAGATTTTCTGAACTATTATTTCAGTCTCTGATTTTAGTCCGTATTTTTTGTTGGAGAAGCGGAGAAAAACAGAGTGTTTCATATGATACAGTACTGTCGTGCACAAACCCTCGGAAAACCGAAGAAAAAGGTGGCGGAGTGCAGGTTGAGAACATCCAAAGTGGTATCTTGTTCACGTAAGTCGGTATTTATATCCTACCCACTATCCCTATATAATGTCGAATACTGCTCCGACAGCTCAAACGACACCCACACAGACCTCCCGATCATGGGCGACCCGAGATCAACGCGTTGTAGCGCGTACCCTACGCGCTCAACAACTCACGTACGCCCAAGACGCCTCGCAGTTAGGCATGACCCATCGTCAGGTCCAAATCGCCTGTACGGAAGATAGGCCTACACCACGAAAATCACGCGGTCGACGTCGAAAGTTATCAGAGGACCAACTTAATGAAATCATCCAGTTTATCACATCATCAAAGGAAACGCATCGTATGCCTTACGAAAGGGTTATTAAGGAACTACAGCTTCCGATTTCTAAGGGAACATTACGAAGAGCTTTAGCCCGACGTAGCTATCAATGTAAAGCACTCCGAAAACTACCCTTATCCGAACATACACAAGCTCGTCGCGATTAACTTGGGCTTTAGAGCATATTAATTGGACACGTGAGCAATGGGAAAAGGTGATATGGACTGACGAAACCTGGGTTACTTCAACCTATCATCGACGGCTCTACGTTACTCGCAAATCTGGCTAAGAATACGATGAAACTTGTGTTCGTGAGCGATATGAGAATCCTGGTAGGTGGATATTTGGGGGGCCATAATTCATTTTTTGGCACTGAGAAAGGGCCTTGTTTGTTCTGAGAAAAAGAATGGGGGACTAATCAAAATAAAGAACTATTCAGAGCGTATTACACCTTTCATTGATGGGATTGTGAGGATGGTTCGGGATCGTGGGCAATATCTTATTGTTATACAAGATGGCGCACCTGCTCATCGAAATATTCTTACTATCGAAGAGATGCATGAGCGTATGATATTCCCTATCGACTGGCCACCTTATTCTCCTGACCTTAACCCTATTGAACAGCTCTGGAATTGGATTAAGGACTGGATTGGAGACCGATATCTTATGCTGTATGATCGTAGGTTATCCTACGATCAATTACGGGATGCAGTAAAGGCAGCATGGGATGCTAACGTATTTCACTGGTGATCCGGCCACCCCCCCCCCCTAAATCTCACCGCTTCAACCAACGCGTCTACTTTGCTCAACCACCATGCCACGAAAAAAAAGCGGATTACGCTCTAAAAGAATGGAACAAGAGGGTAGGATCCAACTTGCAATCCAAGCTTTTAAAGATCGCGGAATTCCTTCTATACGTGCGGTGGCGAAAACATTCGATATACCGCGTGATACGTTGCAAGACCGATTAAGAGGTAGTGAATTTCAACAAGAACAACGCAACCATAACCTCCGGCTATCTCAAACTCAGGAGGATCATTTAGTGCAATGGATAGTATCCAGGGATACCCGTGACTGCCCCCCTAGGCATAATCACGTACGAGAAATGGCGAATTTGATCCTTCGAACTGCATCCAATACCCCCCCCCCCAACCTATCGGATCAAACTGGGTAACCAACTTTATCGACAGGCGCCCAGAGCTCAAGTCTAGGTTCTCTAGACACTATAATTATTCCCGCGCTTTATGTGAAGATCCTAAGATTATTGGGGAGTTCTTTAGTCAACTGTAGAAGATCTGTACGGACAACGGGATCCTGACTGAAGATATCTACAACTTTAATGAAACAGGATTTGCTATAGGATTAGTGGCAACTGCTAAAGTTGTTGCTAAGTGCGAAATGCCTGGAAAGCTATAGCTTATTCAGCCAGGAAATCGAGAATGGGTAACGACGATTGAATGCGTCAACGCCAGAGGATTCGCATTACCGACTACTATTGTCTTTAAAGGCAAGATGCCAATTGAGGGATAGTATAACGGTAGCCTTCCAGAGGATTAACGTATTAAACTATTATCAAACGGATAGATAAACGATAAAATAGGCTTGAGATAGCTTCAAAAGACCTTTATTTCTACTATAACTAGGCGTATGGTTGGCCGATATCGATTGCTGGTCTTAGACGGTTACAGAAGTTATTTGATACCTAAATTTGATGCAGTCTGCAAGAAGAATAATATTATTCCTATATGTATGCTTCCTCATTTATCTCATCCCTTGTAATCTCTAGATGTTGGCTGCTTTTATACCTTTAAAAAAGGAATACGGGAGATCTGTTGAAGATAGATCTCGTTTCGGCAAATACTATATCGACAAATTCGACTTCTTAGAGACCTTCCCTGCGGCCCAGCGAGCCAGTTTATCTCCTCAGAATATTCAGAATGGCTTTATAGCAACAGTAATAGTCCCTTTTGATCCTTAACGCGTGCTTGATAAGTTTAATACGAGAGTTTTGACCCCGGATCCCCCCTTATAGGAACTCGATCTTCTACTATCTTCTCGTTTACTACATCTCGCACGATTCGCCAGCTGCGCCGGAAGGCCTCTACGCTTCACAGTAATATACGAAATCTAGATATTAGTGTACTTGAGGTATCAATCGCGCGTCTAGAGCGGTTAGAAAGAAGCTTTAAAGTGTCCCTATACAGTACGCATTTTATGGCTCAAGAAAACTGCTTTCTACGCCAGGAAGTTGCTCGTCAGCAGTTTAAAAAGAAACGATCTAGACGTCAAATGTTACCTAATCTAGGTGTTACAGTGCAGGAAGCAAGGAATTCAATTATATTAAGAAATGAGCAGTTAAATACTACAGACCGCCCTCCTAGTAATATTGCTCCGGAGGCTTCCTCTGCGCCAAGAAGGCGTCCACCGACGTTTTCTAATTATAATACTCCAGGTCATACTAAAAATAGATGTCCTGTATCTAGAGATAATTGAATTATTTTCTAATTCGTTAGATTGGGTTGTTGGGAATAGATTCAATTTGATCGAGCGTATCGGAATTCAGTGGGGTGGCCGGATCACGCGTGGTGGCCGGATCACCCGTGAAATACGTTATCCCTGACCCTACTTCATTTCTTAATAAGCAAATCGATATGATGCAGGTAAGGTGTCAAGCGGTTATTGATGCGCAGGGGGGACACATGCCTTATTAGTGGATATGTTGGACCGCTTCTCCTTCCTAATGAGTTTAGTGTGTCATCTAATCCACACGGTAGATAGCTCTCTCGCAGCTACGCTGCACCTTTAGGAATTCAAGCATCTTTCTCATCTTGATCGCACCGCGATCCTGACAGATTAAGAGTCACATCTCGCTCTCGACCAGTCAGGAGATGCTGTAACAACCTCAGGAATGAAGAACTGGCTCTTATTGCAGATCATTTACCAGAACACTAGGTTGAAGAAGGAAAAAGAAGAAGACAACGATTTACTGCATGAAGCAGTAAACAAACCCACTGCGTAGGACAAACAGTGCAAATACTACAAACACTGTAAATACCCTGGCGCAAGTAACGCTGCATGTTCAGCTCGTTATATTACTGTCGGTTGACTTGGTCATTGCCCTAAGCAGATATCCTATCGATTCAACGGAATGTAGGTATATGCTCGGTGGGTAAAAGTGAAGTTTCATTCTAAACTACTAGCTAGCTTCGTCGAAGATATAATAGCTGCCCATGCCAAGGAGTCATATGACTTAGGCATGTCAGCTGAGTAATGGTTCCAACAATTACTCTCCACTTCCGATGCGCGGTTGCTCTCAACTGCTAAATTTCAAAGGTCTGCTATCATCCGGATGGTCAGGAAGGAACTCGTCATCTTCAGCAGCCTTTATCCAAAGGTCCAATCGAGAGGGGGGCCCTGGAAGGTCAGAATATCGGTTGTAAAAGTCACGAATTAAGGACGGTAAATTCTTGAAATTTTGTGCGGGATACCAAGTGTTATCATTATCATGACCGGTCCATTTTATTCGATATTGGAACTTCCTATAGTGTAGGCGGCAGGCAAAGATCTGCTCTACTTCCTACTCCTCCTGGTCGTTAACTTCAATTGGTTCCTGTAGATCTTGAATCTGTCCTGTTAATGGTTTGGTCTTGCTCGCGCGCCAGAGTTTCTCAGGTACAAATATCGGGTAAACTCTCATTGATTCCGGTAGGTTATGTAAATAGGAATAGCCTTTCTTCTTTAGGATTTCGAATGGCCCTAATGCTTGTTAACTTAATTTTCGACTCGAGCGTTTTAGATGCCTGTCCTTCTACTTTCAGTTCTCGGGATTTAGAGGTTTTCTGCCAATCGAAGGACATGCGAGATTCAAAATCTCTTTCTACAAAAAACGGGAACACTCTTGTTGACTTATGTAGTAGTACTGCTGCTGCAAAATCCATTATAGATAACAATTCTGGCCAGTTATCCTGATAATAATTTATAAAGGGGCGTAAACATTAAGTTACGTACTAATTGACTATCTCTGTTCTTCCGTTCGTCTATAGATAATATCCGGAGGATAACTTTAGTTTCACTCTTAAGATTTTGCAGAGTTCTGTCCAAAATTTGAAGACGAACTGTTCTCTTCTATCCGAGACTATACTGTTAGGCAGGCCTGTTCAGGGGTAAACTCATTGTAAGAAGAGATTTGCCATCCTGTTAGCCTTAATAGTCTTGAAGCAGGATATCGAAACTATACGTTTGCTGAACCGGGCCATTATTACAAATACGTTATTATAGCCGTTGTCCTTTGCTGGAGGAAGAGATCGGAAATCCATCCCTATGTATTGTCACGGACTGTGACCTGCCTCCGAAGACGTTCCTTCGCGATACCCTATGACCTAACTACCCGATCGGGACTAGCTTCACAACCTAGCTTAGTTTCTTCGTTGAATGCATATCCTACATTTTCGCGATTTCTTATCGCCAGCGTAGCCGTTCGTCACATGTATTACTATAGTCGATCCGGGATAGGGAGCGGTTAGAGCAAACCGAGAGACAAGTCCCTCCAAGTGTAATTTCGTTTACATATCAAGCAGTTATCAATATGTCTGTCTACGTCCTTGCTCTATGATAGTTACTAGTATCGGGCTTTAACCAGTCGTCTGGTCTTTCCTTTCCCCGGATGAGCTGTAGAGGGTTACCGGTAGATATTATCGAGTAAACGAGTTTTGAGGTTACCTTTATCCGGTACTACTAGTCGTTCTTGAAAGAATAGTTTTCCATCGATTATATTTTAATCGAGATCTTCTGTTGCTGCCTTCCCACGAAATTCAGTAAGCTCGTAAGAATCGCAGTTAGCTCGGAAAAGGCAATTAACTAACTCTAATTCTGTATCAAGAGATACTAAAACGGTAGGGAAGACACTCTTCTCTAGACAGTCTTTAGAAAGGAAAGTTTAAGAACGGTACTCCTGGTTTACGGATCTGTCTTGCCTGATTAGAGCGTCTACTAACGTATTCTGTTTTCTTAATCGATATTTGATTAGAAAATAGAAGCGGGATAGGAACTCAGCCTATTTAGCTTGTCGGGCATTCAGTTTTTCGTTATTATAGAGTACTTGAGGACTCAATAATCTATAAAGATTTTAAAACGTTTTACTTTTTGTAGACTTTCTAGCTCTGCTCTCCACTCCTCTAATGATCTAACAATAGCTAACATTTCTTTATTATGTATCCCATAATTGACTTCTGCAGGCACCATCGTCTTTGAGAAGAAGGCCACGGGATGCCAATAAAGGTCTGCTTGATCCTGTTATAACAGTATTCCAGAAATTACTCTATCATTTGCGTCTGTTTCCAGTCTAGTAGGCAGTCCTAGATCGTAATAAAAAAGGACTAGAATAGAAGATAGTACTATCTTTAGATCTTTAAAGGTATTTTGATAGTTTTTATCCTATATGAATGAAACGTTTGCTCGAGTTTATCTGTTAAACGTTTTCACTCTCTTACTGTATTGTTTGATAAATCTTCGGTAAAAGTTACAAAAATCTAAAAATGATTGCACTCCTTTAACTGTAGTAGGTGCATTTCAGTTCCGAATTACTGCAATCTTCTTAGAATCAATCTCGATGCCGTCCGTAAAGATAATAAAACTTAAATACTTGGTCTTTGTCACATGGAATTGACACTTCTTAATAGATGTCTGGAGTCCAGCGCCTCTGAGTCGCTACAAGACTAGCTTTACATGCTTTCGGTATTTAATCTCATTGTCGCTATATATGATTAGGTCGTCCACGAATGCTGTCATGAAGCGGTCTAGGTAATCCAAAAAGATATCATTGATTAGGCGTTAGAAGGTTGCAAGCCCGTTAGTAAACTTAAATGGCATTACCTAATATTTGTAAATTCCGTATCGTGTTCGAAAGGTAGTTATCTCTTCAGAGTCAGAATCTATGCAAATTCTATGAAATCCTTACTGAATGTCGATTTTGCTGAATATCTTCGCACGACTGAGTCGATCCATAATTTCGTTAACTAAAGGGAAAGAATATCGATCCTTTCTGGTAATTGCATTTAATTTCCTGTAGTCTATACAGAAACGTAGCTCTCTTCCTAATTTCTTCGCCATTAGGATCGGGAATGCGAAGGGCGCGTTACTCGGTACAATAAAACTTTTTACAAAGTTATTAACGATATACTGCTTTGCTGCCTCTAGTTCCTCTGCATTTATCTTGTACAAAGGCAAATACCTTAAGGTAAGCTTATTCTCCAGCTCTATCCTATAGTTGCAGTCCCGGTGTAGTGGGAGAATATCCGACTGCATTTTCGAGAAAACGTTAGCAAATTCGTGATATTGCTCGGGTAATTGTCTTCGAATCTCGTTTAACTCTTCGTTTTTTACGGATTCTCTCTTGTAGGCAATTAGCTTATCGATCTAGTATAATGATATAATAAACACTTTACTGTTTTTACTGTAGATATGTTTCGAGAAGCCAGCCGCTCCGATTATCGTAATATCTATCTGGCATAGGACCCGGGGCTCTTGTGATTATCTTTTAGAGGATAATTCTTGCGTGTACCATCCTTTTTCTGTCAGGGCCCTTTCTATCTTGGCCTGAGACTGCAAAAAGTCTTTAGCTTAGGTTCTAGAAGATCTATAACGTTCTTTGTTTTTCTGCTCGTCCCTTATCTCTCTTTCCATAAGTCTTTCTCTGCGAGTTATATCCCTTTGGTGTGCCTGATCGACTTTTGGTTTCTGCAAGATACTTCTAGAGTACATCTATAGGCTCTTAGTCTTGACTTGCTTTTGTAGAGAGAGCTCTTCTGGCCAGATCAGCCGTTTCTGATAGCAATCCGATAGAATCTTGTGCTTTCCTAGCTAGAGTTTTCCCAGGATCATATCGTGCTGTCCTAGCTTAACGAATATAAAAGGGACTTGCTGTTAACGTTTTCTATCTATTACTAGGTCCATGACTATCGCATGCGTGATGGGTATCGTAGGTCTGCCATTAAAATCGGCTACCGGGATTTCCTGTTCAAGCGGTATCGTAGGGATTTGGAATCGTTTAGCCAGGAAGATCGCGGTAAAGATATTTATAAAACAAAATCTATTTGCTCCAGTATCGATTAACGTTTTTATAACGAATGACATTCTATTGTTTGCTACCTGAGTTTAAATTGTAAATCTATCATTTAGTTTTTCAAGTAGCGTCTGAAGGTCAGATTCAGTCTGTTTTTCAATACAAATTTTGCCTAGAATGGAGACTTCCTCTAGGCATCCTCTTTTTTCTGATAGTTCAGGTTCTCCAGTCCCTACACTTCCTTCTGTAACTCTAAAGTTTTCAGATAAGTAAGGGCTCTGTCGGGACACTCAACAGATCGATATCCGTATTTAAAACAGCTGAAACATTTTCTTTCGCTCATCAGTCAGGCTCGAGTGTCAGCATCTATTGCGCGACAGAATCCAAGAGTCCGTTCGTCAGAGTTCAGGGTCTGAGATTTAGTCAGTCTTAAAGTTTCCTTTCCTGTTGGAGGCAGGTTAGCTGTTTCTGCATTAAAACGGTTTCTAAGAAATCTGTAGTCTATAATCTCTAGGCTGTTAGCTATAGTCGAGCAATATTCAGAGAACTTGCTGAATGAGTAAGTATTTTTGGTACTCTTAACGACTGTCATCTTTTGCAATTTGCGAGAGAATTTTTGATAAAGCTCATCCTTTATATCTTTATCGTGGATTCCTGCCTCAGAGGCAACATAGACAAATTCAGACAGAAATTTATGGAACTTATTGTCTTTTTTCATTCGCAAGTTTCTGAACTTGTTCTTTGCAATGATAACTCGGTTCGGGTCATGATAGATACTCTTGAGGTAATCCAGTATCTCATTTTTATCCTTGTATCTGTCGCCTCTGGCCTGCTGTCTTGAGACTAAGTGCTGTAAGGCCTTTCCTTTAGTACGATTCTGGATATAGGTCATACGTAGTTCGGAAGTACTGTAGTGATCCTGATTTACTTTCAGCTTTGCGTTTATCAAGATAATCCAATCATCAAAACCCGGCTCCTTCCCGTCCGACAGGCAAGGAGGGTCAGGGAACTTGATCGATTTCACTGGGTTAGATTTCTCAAAAAGGGTCCTGATTCTAGCTCGTAGCTTATTACTTTGGTCGCGAGCAGGCTAATCTCGGCATCTTGTTTTTTGGTCTCTTTGGTCTTCTTGATAAGCTCTTCCTTTAGCGAAGCAGTTTAGGCCTTCTATTCCTGCGAAACAAGCTCCTGCTCACTAATCAATTCTTCCATTCGTTGGCCGAGGTTAACCGACACCTTGGGATCTGCCGCCCCATGGCCGAGAAAGACCGGTGTTTGCAATGGGGCTTGGGGGTTGAACGAGATTCGGTGTCTTCATTTCGGTCCACGGTCTCAAGGCCACTTTGCCCTTCGTGTTACAAGGGTGATAGATTGAGGACATCCCGAATAAGATTCAGTGCCTGGATTGAAGCAGGAATGTCTTCATTCTCATCATCATCATCATCATCATGAGAGAAAGGGTCATTATCATCGTCATCATCTGTGTCCTCGTCCTCATTCTCACCACCCAATTCCAACAGCCCGGAAATCTCGCTTTCAAAAGGTAACCACCCTCTCATCCCCACAAATCCCCCGAGTCGTTTGTCTTGCCCGTCGTCTGGCCCGGAAAACCCCCCAAGAAGACAGAAGATAGATGCCGCACAGCCTTGGCTCAAACCCCCGATCACAACGCGGCTGTATTCATTGCCAGCAGTGGGGTCATTGGACTCGCTCAATAACCGCGCTTCATCGTCAATCAACATTCTCAGGAATTGACTGGTCTAGCCCGTCGACCTGCAACTCGGTTCGAGTATTTGGATCGTCGAGAGAGTAGTTATCGAACCACTGATGGATCGGGATCCGTTTCAGCACCGTAGAGCGACGTTTTTGGCAGTGGGAAAGATGAATTTGGTTGTTGGTAGACGGTGCGCGATCTCGGTGCTTTCGAGGAAGACGGAACCGAAACGTTCACTGTTGCTGCCGCGGCCGTGAAGGAGGAGGATTGTATGTGTGTGCTCGTTGTTCCTCAGTAGAGGAATCACCAGAGGTATAGGGTATGGCTTGGAAGACGGCATGGCATGGATTGTTTCAGTAGAGACTACTCAGGTAGAGGGTAAAAGTCAAATCAAGCGGGCGGTAGGGATATTTTGTATGTAGCATAAACGCGCGAGCTCGAACCCCATAGATCAGTAGTGAATTTATTTTTAGCACAGGATTACTTTGTTATAGTAGAGGGAATTTAAGATCGCCCAGTTTCAAGGCTCGCGCCATGTCAGTGGTTTGACTCGGCGCTTACGCTACCACGCCCACGCTCATTGCACAGGGTTACGTGGAGACGGGCGAGTACAAGTTATTCAAGCGGGAGAAGAGCCTGGAGACAGAGAGCAAGAGATATTAAAAAGGAAAAATTATACAACAGGGTTCCAAGGCGTTTAGCTACACCTATCAATTATCAATTTAATGGTAATGTAACTCCATTAGTAGGTATAAGGCACGTGATCTGAAGAGCTGAGTCAGCTGCGGATCCGAGGCGGGCCGCGGATCGTCATCGGAACCGCCCACATCGGCTGTCCACGGCGGCCGATGCTGCGGAATGGATGAATGCAGGATTCAGGATGAAAACAGGTAGATAAACATTGTGATATCAACAATATACAGGATAGATTTGAAGATTCTCAGAAAAGCATGTAGTGATTGTCCTCACGAAGTTGGGCATTGAAGAACTGCGAAAGTAAATGCCTGAGGCTACTAAGGAGGTGCCTGATCTCCACGCTTCTGCGGGGGGTTTCCGGGGTAGGGCGGGTTGGCTTCCGCAACTCCGCAGCTGCCCGCCGCTCTCAAGTCTATTTATCCCGTGGTTCTGCAACGTCTGTTCGCACTCCTCGAACCTCTTGCTGCCATTCTCATTGGAAGGAATTTCTCTGGCCATTGCATGAAGGCCGTCAATTCCTCTCTTCTCAGTCCTATCTCCTGCAGCTGTTGAGAAAAAGCGGCTGCTTTCCTCTCCCCCAGATTTTAAATCACTGGACGTTCAATTCGTCATGCCTTCACAAGTAGCGACTTGCTTGCGCCTAGCGCGGCAGTTCTCTGCCAACTCGAGCAAGGTACATCCAGAGTCAATGTGGCATGACATCCAATTAGTACACACGAGATGCTAACACGTATTATGCGATTGCAGCACCAACGGTTTCTTGCCCGTGCTTTCTCAAGCAGTACCATCCGGCCTGAAATCAACAAGGCCCTCTCGTCTGCAGATCTGGCCATCAAAGATATGAAATCCAACTCGACCGTCTTGGCAGGTGGCTTCGGACTCTCCGGTGTCCCAGACTCGCTGATCAAAGCGGTGCTAGCTAATCCCGCGATCACGGGCTTGACGGTCGTCAGTAACAATGCCGGAGTGGACGGAGCGGGTCTGGGCCTCCTTCTTCAGTCCAAGCAGATCAAGAAGATGATTGCCAGCTACGTGGGCGAGAACAAGACCTTCGAGCGCATGTACTTGACCGGCGAGATCGAGCTCGAGTTGACACCCCAGGGTACCCTGGCAGAGCGCTGTCGATCCGGAGGCGCCGGCATCCCCGCGTTCTACACCCCCGCGGCGTTCGGTACGGTCGTTCAGACGGGCGAGCTGCCCCTGAAGCACAATCCCGACAGCACCGTCGCGCAGTACAGCCAGCCCCGGGACGTGAAGGTCTTCGACAACAAGAGCTACGTGATGGAGGAGGCCATCAAGGGTGACTACGCTTTCGTCAAGGCCTACAAGGCCGACAAGCTGGGTAACTGCCAGTTCCGATATGCCGCGGCCAACTTCAACGGAGCCATGGGACGCAACGCGAAGATGACCATCGTGGAGGCGGAGCACATCGTGGAACCCGGCGAGATCGATCCCGCCGCTATCCATCTACCTGGTATCTACGTGAAGCGCGTCATCCAGAGCACCGAGCCCAAGAACATCGAAAAGTTCACCTTCGCCAAGGAGGAGGGTGACGATGCGGCTGCCCTAGGCAAGGGCGACACTGCGGCCAAGCGGGAACGGATCGTTCGTCGCGCCGCTAAGGAGTTCAAGAACGGGATGTATGCCAACCTGGGTATCGGTATGCCCATGCTGGCTCCTAACTTCGTGGATCCCTCGGTGGAGGTGATGCTGCAGTCCGAGAACGGTATTCTCGGTCTAGGACCCTACCCTAAGAAGGGCCAGGAGGATCCGGATCTCATCAATGCAGGCAAGGAGACCGTGACTCTTTCTCCCGGTGCTGCTGTCTTCGGCAGCGAGGAGTCCTTCGGTATGATCCGTTCCGGACGGATCGACCTCACCATCCTAGGCGCTATGCAAGTTAGCGCTCGCGGTGATCTGGCCAACTGTGAGTTATTCTCGCCTCGGAATCCCAACTCCCTCAAATACTAACTAAGACATGACAGGGATGCTCCCCGGCAAGATCAAGGGCTTCGGTGGAGCCATGGATCTGGTATCCAACCCGTCTGCCACCAAGGTGGTGGTGACGATGGAACATACGGACAAGAAGGGCAACCCCAAGATTGTCAAGCAGTGCGAGTTCCCTCTGACCGGCAAGACCTGCGTCAGCCGGATCATCACCGAGCTCTGCGTGTTCGACGTTGACTTCACCGACGGTCTGACTCTGGTCGAGCTGGCCGACGGAGTCACGGCGGATGAGGTCCGCAGTAAGACGGAGGCTCCATTCAAGGTGGCTGACGACGTGAAGCCTATGCTGTAAAAGCCTGGTTCCTCTGCTTGGCTTTGCTTTGATGGGTGATAGGGGTTTACGTACATGATTGTGATTTTCAAACATATGGGTTGATTGGGGACAAAGCAAAAACAAGGAATATGTCTGCACAAGACAAGACACCTACTGTATATATGGTACCATACCTTATTTAAGTTCTCGCGTTGCTGAATTCAATGTTCCGATAACAAACCAAGCCTTCCAGACGATTACTCAAAAGAATCCAACAAATGGGGTCGACTTTTTTAATTCCCTGTCTTCTTTTAACATGACATGATATATATACACCCTCTAACCCATTATTCCAAGAACATTAGTAGTACAAACAACATAAAAATACATCCCCCTCAGAACCAATCACCTTACTTCAACCTAAAAAGGCCCTTCATCCTCTTTCCCAATCGCCCCATCCAATCGCGCGACGGCGCTTCCGCAAACTCCTTAATCACATTATCGTAATGGTCTGGGTTACTCGCGGGCCGCCGCAACTTCGGCGATAGCGGATACCGCCGGGCGTAGCGATCCTCCAGTAATGAGGACAGGGCATTGAGGGAAGACTCTGAGATTTCACCACCTTGGGGCGCGGAGGACTGTGATTGCGATTGCGGTTGGTGATTGGGGGACTGAGACTGGGACTGGGGAGAGAGGCGCGAGCGAAGGAAGGTTTGCACGGAGACGGAGGATGGGCGGACGGGGTCGGAGGGCCAGTGATTGATGAGATGCGAGATGCGCGTCTGGATGGACTGGGGGTTCTGCGGGGGGCGGTTTAGTTTGAGGGACTCGTTAGAGATTGAGATTGAGTACATACTGGTGGTTTGACCATGATGGCTGTGGGGGATTGAATTTGCTGTGTTATTGGTGCGGCGCAGGAGAAAGAGGGAGAAGCTGCAGCTACTGCGGAAGAAGACTAGGAGAAATATAAAAAGAAGGGTCGAGAACAGCAACTGCGGGGATTGTGAAGGGGAGTAAAATGCCGTTGATGAATCCGATGCGATGCTGATGAAAATCAAATCACGGGATGGGGCCAAAGTCACGGGAGCCAGAGCCAAATGCCCCAGGCAGCCGTCCAGCCCAAAGTGGATCTTCTCTCTCTCTCTCCGTCTCTCTCTCTTTCTCCCTCATTCATTCATTCATTCCCGCTCTCTTTTCCGTCTTTCATCCCGGCCTCAGCGCCTCCTTCATCTCCTATCATCTCCGTTCTTTTGTTCCTCTCCTATTCTCGAGTCTCTTTACCTTCCTATCGGCTGTTTTCTCGACCTCGTTCCCCCCTCGACCTTCCCTTCTTTTCCCGGATCGCCGGTCCCCGTCGTTCCGCTCGTCATGAGCTCGCAGCGTTACCAGCGGGTAAGAGTCACGCCATCGCCTTCCCTTCCGCGCTCCCTCTGAGAACAAGCATCCTTGCCCATTTATTGGACTAGGGAGTGTGATACGGTCGCGGTAGCAGGTTTCGCTAATACGATGCTGTTCAGGTGAACGCCCATGACGATGAGGAGGCGCCACAGTCCCAATCGTCGATCCCTCTCCGAACCAACCCAACGCCCTCTTCTCCGCCGCCCTCATTTCGCTCCCGCTCCTCCTCTCCCTCAACGAGGCGTCTTCTCCGAGATGACCCCAATGATAACGGTGCCGAAGAGACCCTCGCTGCTGCATTTGGCGATGGCAGCGATTCCGAAGTAGATGACGAACCCGATGACCGCCAACGACTCATGCGGGCCCAGCCCGAATCCCAACCGATCGCGGATAGCAACACCATAGCGAGTGCCTCTTCATCGGGCGCAGGCAGCGGATCACAATCGTCAAGGGAGCGCATTCCCGCAATGCAACGGCGACCGACGATTTTGCCGTCGTTTAATGGCTCCAGCTCGGGCCCTGGTCGCATGATTAGTTCCTCCAACGATGGCGTCTTCGCAAACCTGGCGGCTAAGCCTGAGCGAGGGGAGAAGAATGAAGATATGCCTCCGGTATGTTAATCCGATTTGCGTCGACGCTGTCGGTTATTATGTTGAATGCTAATCCAGGCCATATTTAGTCCTATGAGGAAGCCGCCGCTGACGCCACTCCGCCTTACTGGGAAACGACTATTCTTGCGCCTGGCATTGCGTCCGATGAGGTGTATGTAGATGGACTACCGGTCGGATCGGTTTTCTCGTTTGTCTGGAATGCAATGATTTCGATGTCATTCCAGCTCGTCGGGTTCCTGCTCACATATCTCCTTCACACTACACATGCGGCAAAGAATGGAAGCCGAGCAGGTCTGGGTCTTACCCTGGTGCAGTACGGTTTCTATATGAAGGGTGGCAGTGAATCTCGAGGGGGCGAAGAGGGTTCCGACCAGTATGCCACGCCGTCCGACCCTAACAGCCACAACTTTGACCCCAACTCGGTCAACGAGAGTTCGGGAGGTGACGGAGGCAGCGCCGCGGGCATCAGCACGAGTGACTGGATTTCGTATATCCTGATGATCGTGGGGTGGTTCATACTGATTAGGGCCATCAGCGATTTCCTACGAGCTCGACGGCACGAGCAGTTGGTGCTGCAGAGCCCGGATCGAGGGTTGGGAGTTCCGGTTATCGCGGAAGGCGAGCGATCGGAGACCGTTGTCTAAAGTTTTCTCTTGTCTCTATCGTATATGAAGCCTGTTTATAAATCATAACCGGGGGTTACCCTCCCGGTCCGTCAGGGTTGGAGCTTCGGAGCTAGGGAGTTTTTCTTTTTCTTGCTCTTTGATTCTGTGCATTGATTTGTTCTGGTATTGGATTTATTATTTGGCGATTTGCGCTGGCATCCGGAGGGAAACTCTCCGTCTCACACGGCGTGAATGCCACACATTCAGCATGCATTGTAGCTATTTACTGGACTGGTTTAAAGGGGGGAGTCAAGATACCAAATGTGATTCACTACCAACAACCGCCATTCCCCGGGTTTTTGCCATCGGATGGCGTGGCATTCACCAGGCAACCCTATTCTTATGCTTATTCTTGGTAGTTTCACCATCACTGTGGCTGTTCACTCGCCCTTTTTTCGGTTCCTTTCCTTTCTTTTTCTACTCCGTAGATCCGCAATTATGATTCATTTACCTTCTTAAACCCTCCTTAATTCTGCATGCTGCACCCCGTCCTTCCCTCCTTTCAAACTTCTCCATTTCTTCACGGGGCTCTTGGCGTCATCTCCGCCACTGATTTGTTTTGTTGACCCGCTCTCCATCCGTTCATCCTTCTGCTGTTTTCTCTCTGCCTCGCTTCCATTTTCCATTGCCCTACAACCCTTCCCTTGCGCTACTACCTCCTTGGGAAATGGCTAAGGCCGTTAATGCGGCGGATGAAGAATCCGCCGACCTTCCCCGCGGCCCCGTCGAGGCCCGATCGCTGTCCGCCATCACAGGCATCGCCTCCAATCCCCCCGCATATCCTCGGAATCCCACCCAGAAGAAACTTGAACCCCTGTCACTCTACATCGTGCGAGTCCCTGGTAGCAAAGGTATGCGCTCCATTCCGCCGGCCATGCGATTTTCCATACTAACTTGCTTGTTTCCCCCACTAGATGTCTTTTTGTCGCCGCTTAAACCTCCCACCAAGGCCAGTGTTTCCGCCGAGGCCATCAACTCCTCGCTGTACTACCTGCACGTTGCCACCCCGGACGATCAAGCCTTGCTTCATGAGGTCGAACAGGAACGAGAAGAAAATGCTCGACTACGTCGCGAGATGAGCGACGATGGCGACTTACCCCCCGAATTGGCGCGATTGAATAATGTCCGGCGAAAACCGGTACCTGGTGGAGGAGGTCATAATGGGGACGCTGAGAAGAAAGAGTCCCCCTCTACGCCTCCTTCTCTACCTGTTCGTCCACCGATGCATTCCCCATCGCACTCTACGGTGTCGTTACAACCGCCCCCTATGCCGGCTCGTCCAACCTTGTCCCCGCGATCATCCGGGGATTTCGCCGGCGCGCCTCAGCATCGCCAGGACTTTCTCGACAATCCGACAGTCGATTCGACGTCCGCTCGTCCGCATCGACCACTCCCACCCGTTCCCCAGGATGAAGACGCATTGGATGCCTACGAAGAGAAGTTCATGACCAAACCCCAGCGATGGAGTGCGCTCGGGCATCTCTCGCGCGGTCAGGAGTTCTGGAAAGAGAAGTACGAGGCTCTTTCTGCAGGGCGTCACAGTCTCGACTCTCGTGAACCCCGGATGCGACCGACTTCAGCCCATGCAAGCCCGACATACCCGCACATGGGTTCTCCAGGAAGAAGCCCCGGCCAATCTCCCACCCGGAGACCGCATGAGGGCAGGCTATCGGAGCGGCGGGGTTTCCACATAACCCTGATTCGTCGCGATCCTACGCATGGCAGTCAGTGGAACGTCGCGACCATGTCGATGCCCCGGATGGATAGTGGTGCCATTGACATTGAGGTATTCACACCGGGATATAAGCGATTCGCCGGGCAAAATGAACCTGTCTCTCTGGCCAGCTTGGGGATAAACCTTCCGGCGGAAGCCCGTAACTCCCTCAATATCCCGCGGCAGGCCGAGGCTGCCGAGACCACCAGTAACGAACCTGCGCAACCGCGTCGGTTCCAGCGCAAGCTGTGCGTGTCCCGGCCGCATGCGCCGGAGGAGTCGCGCGGATCGCTGGACATTCCCGGGGCTCGGCCCTCCATCGACAGCCTAGGCAGACCTGGCAGCCAGAGTGGCGGAGGTGTCTCCAAGCTCAAGAGCGGTTATTACACCTTCACCTCGCCCTGGAACGGCATTTGCACCTTCTCCACCAGTGTCAACGGCCGCAGTCTAAAATGCAAGCACATGATCCCCATGCCTGGGCTCCCTCCTGCGGCCGGTGGGAACGGCGCGGTTGAGAATCCCGCCGTCACTGTGGCCGAAATCCGCTTCAACACGCCCTTCCAGGCCGGCCATCTTCCTCATAACCCGGGCCCGTCTCACACCTCGCCTTTCTATCTCAGCCAAACCGCTGGCTTCAAAGACCCCGCTGCCGCTCCCGACAATCACCCGGACGGCACCTCCGCCTTCCTGCCGCCAGGGTCGAAGCGCAGCTCTCTGGCGTACTTCTTCAACGCACACGCTCAAGCCTTCACCAACCGCCCTCGCTCGCGCTCCGGCGCCAGCACGCACTCCAACCCCAATAATAACCAACTGCCACCCCCGACCACGCCGCCCTTCCATGCGCGCAAGCCCTCCCATAGCAGCGCCAGCAGTGTCGACATCGACGACCCCTCTGCCGAGTCGCGCCGTGCGCTCCGTCGCCCACCCAGCGAAGACCGACTAGACTTCAGTCTAGCCCGAGAACCAGCAGGTGGAGGTATGCGCGGCAAGAGCGCCAAACTCGGGAAACTGGTCATCGAAGACGAGGGCATCAAGATGTTGGATCTCGTCGTCGCATCTTGTATGGCGGTCTGGTGGCGGGGATATTATTATTGACGGACTTGCAATTGCGTTATTGAGGACTGAGTGGATTGAGGTGAGATGGAGTGATATTATCATTATTTTCGAAGCATCTTTGCATTTCTTAGGGAGTTCATCTTTTTCTCTTATCTTTCTTCTTTCTGGTTGTATGCTTACGCACGCCTGGTATCTACCTCTGTTTGCTTGCTTGATTTGACTTGATTTGGATGGATATTGTTTACGTTTTTGTTTGTTTGTTTGTTTGTTTGTTCTTACATGGGCTTGCATCTGGACCTGATCTTTGGACTTCATGGCAACTTATCAGAACCTCTTTATCGGTCTACCTGATAGAATAGACGATGTCCAGGTCCAGGTCCAGGTCCATTGCATACGATTGACGATTGACGATGATTCCCTCTGGATGGATGGATGGATTTGTTTGCTTTTACCTTTTGCTATCCTATCGACTATTTGCATCATTGCCGGAACTAGATAGAATTTGTTTGTTATTTACAACAGAAATGACACGCGACTTTATAGTCTGTCTTTAAAATTAATATAAATCCAGTTTAGAGCTTACTATCCTTTGCCGGACCTCCTTCCCGTATTCTTTCAAAGTGAAAAGAGGTATAAAATAACGCTCCGTTGTAAACTCGGTATCTATTAAGCCCTTCTATATTTAAGCCTCTTTAATCGGAAAACTGATCTATTTATAAATTTTATTCGGACGGAACTTATAGTCAGCGTTTATCAGATCATCTTGGTTAGTAAGTCTTTATCTTGTTGTATGGAAAGTCTGAGAAATAAATACACATGACAGCGAGCCGAGCATTCTGGTAGTTATAATACCGCCGGAAAACAATATCCTCCAGCCACTGCTAGACCGTCCATGGTTTCCCTCCTTGCGGCACGCCACTTGCCTAATATCAACGCGTTAGACCACGAGATCGAACTCGCTCGAGGTTGGGCCGATTTTCTACTGTAAATTGAGACGATCAAGTATTGTTATTGATTCATGTTTCATTGCCATCTCTCGCCCCTCCCCCGAGCCGACGTTGCACGTACAAAACATTTACCCCCAACCCACTACCGCTCCAGGCTCATGACCACATCCGTGGAACGCCTATGAGCCTCCTCGCTTCCTCTGCACGCTTAGTTCAAACGTAACCATATACATTCGATTGGCATTTACTCTGTCTTGGCCATTCTGTCGAAGGATGGCGCTGAGCATGAAACGCGTTCGACTCGGATGAATAGAGACGGACGTAATGTCCGGACACACCAGGCGACGATTGTCACGCCAGTATAAGGGCAAGATACTAGGTCTCAGAGCGTCTTGGTTCGCAAGATTTAGATACAGGTCCTCGACATGCCAGATGTGGAGGTCTCCATTTGATGTATCTCCCGTCGTGGCTGCCTGCCTTAGACACGATTGAATATGACCTGTGTAGTCTTGGAACTTTTCTGATCTCTCCTTACAGCTCACGGATCGCAAGAGAATGGCGTTTTCCACTCAGATCCCGACCAGAAAAACTGGGAGGTTGTCGAACGATTCGAATGAGAACCTGTTTTCAGCGGGTCCGTCGGGCTTCATCGTAAATCTGTCGGCTTACGGACATGATGGCCAGTAGATTGCTGTCGGGATTATGTTGCAGCCAGAGCCCATTTCCGCGGGGTTCAACGTCGGTGCGGCGCAGGTATTTTCCAAAATTCACTTCCTCGAAACAGAGAAGAAACCTGTAGACCATGAATCGCAACTCTGGCCAACCAATATTCTCAGGTTAGTCCGACGCCCCATTATAACATGTGTAATGGCAGCGAGATAGAGCGGAGGCTATCGAGTTATCGAGCTTGCTCAGCGCAGAGTTTGCCCGCAAGGCCCAAAAAGCTGCCATGGCACTTTTCTGCACTGTACAGTGCCTTGGACAAGACACCTCAACGAACTCCCTCCTTACCGCAAGACGCCACGTGACCTTACGCGGTCTGAGCCCGCCCATGGGTTACCCATGGAGCAGCAGGGTCAAGCCAGTCGCCAAGTTTCCAGGACGAAGTGTAGTCCCAGACCACGATTCAGTAATTCGCAGGTCCGCCGTTTACACGAGAGATCATTTTGCTGGTTCTACATCTCGTAGGATCAATTCTAAATCATCCCACCATCTGACCAGTTAAGTTAGGTAGTCAGCCGGAGTCAATAGATCGTCGTAGTTTATATGGTGTAGTTTCTTACAAAACAAATCGTTCGTCATCATCACACTAATCGACTGATATAGAATTAAAGCAGAAGAAAATACACTATCTCATGCTATACTCGCTAATACCTCTTCTTCTACTTACTAACTACCCAACAGGATATGGATATAGAGCCAAGAGAAATACAAGAAAAAGAAAGAAAGAATAAGAATTAACATTTCAATCTTTGATTTCATCCCCTGGGCTTTGTTTTTGTTTTTTTCTTCTTTTTCTCGTAATTTGGCTTATCGGTGTGCGTCCATTCCACGGGCCAGCGACGATTCCAGATCGTTCTGATGGCCACCACCGCTCGGCGCCAGCGCCTCCTGAGGCTTGGGTTCCTCCTGCTTCCAGCCGCTCTGCTGGTTCTCCGGGATGGGGACGTTAGTCTGCTGGGCGATCTGCTGCTGCTGGGCAGCGGCGGCCTGCGCCTGGGATTGCTGCCTCACGACGGACCGGAACCGCACCACCTCGTCGTAGATCATGCGACGCATCTCGGCGACGTCTTCGACGACCTCGAAGTGGAAGTCGAAGGTGGTCGGGCAGGTCGGCTCGTCCGACGCGTCGTGCCAGATGTGCAAGTAGGGATGCTCCAGGGCCTCCTCGACGGAGATTCGTGACGTCGGGTCGAACGCGAGCATGCGGTCGAGCAGGTCCAGCGCGTCGGGGTTCGCGCTGGGGAACAGCCGCTGGAACGGGATCTTGGGCATGAAGGGCAGGTTGCGCACGTACTCCTGCGCCCGGGGGGAGCCGATCCGCGCCAGGGTCTCCTCGTTGGGGGTGCCGAGGTAGTGCAGGATCTGGTTCAGCTGGTCGACGTAGTCGCGGCCCTTGAAGAAGGGCCGTCCTCCGAGGAGTTCCGCTAGGATACATCCGACGGACCACACATCAACTAGAGGAGTAGTTAGTACGGGATGAGTTTTGATTGTGAGAAGGAACACGCACTGGCTTTGGTGTAGCTTTGGAAGCTCAGCATAATTTCGGGAGCACGATACCACCGGGTCGCAACGTATTCGGTCATGTAACCGGCGTTCTCCTCCGGGTCGATCGAGAAACCACGAGCCAGGCCGAAATCGCAGATTTTGAGCTCGCAGTCCGCGTTAACCAGCAAGTTACCGGGTTTCAAGTCTCGATGCAGCACATTGGCGGAGTGAATATACTTCAGACCGCAGAGGATCTGGTAGATGAATGATTGGAAATGGGCGTCGGTCAAGGGCTGTCCAGAGCGAATGATAGCGGCCAGATCACATTCCATCAATTCTGCGTTGAACGTCAGCTACTACCACCCATTTACATTATATGCAGAACTCCATCTCGAGCGATCGGTCTCTCTCACCTTCATAGAGGTACGTTTCGTTGAAGTTATCCGGTCGAGGAATATCCATATCATACAGGCAAGTAATCTGCAGGCCATCGGGGTCAGTTTCAACTCGGCGACGACAGCGGGGTTCAAACGGACGTTGCGATGGCCTCGGAAGTGCTGAAGCAGCTTAATTTCTCTCAGAGCGCGCTTGGCCAGGATCTTCTTGCTGAAGACGTTGGTGACCTTCTTGACGGCGACACCTTCGCCGGTCTGGGTGTTCTGGGCGGCACTGTCGTAAAGAAGAGGAGGGGTTAGCATTCTAGTTCTAGCAGGCAGACAAGTATGTAGGACCGACGCACCAGACAATACCGTAGGCGCCCTGACCCAGCTCCTTGGTCACATTGTAGCGTTCATCGACGATGAAGTCCTGGTTGAAGACCTTGAAGATCTTACGACCCTGCAAATCAGACATTGTCGCTGGGGAATGAGGCGATTAGACCGGAAGGCGGGGGAAGAAGGAAGAGAGAAGAGAAGAGAAGAGAAGAGGAAAGATGGAAGCGAGAAAAAAGGAGGGGAGGAAGAGGGGAAGACGGTGATGACAGTGGCGGTGCTGTTTGTGTCCACCCTCTCTTTGTGGGATGAGGAGATGCGCTTGTCTGGATTTCACTATTTTTTTTCCCAGGATGTGATGAACGTGGAGGGGGGAAGATGCAGGAGGAACAATGAGAAATAGTCAGTAGGCGCCGGGACGAGGAGAAAAGAAGGTGATTGAAAGACGGAACCGCCGCAGCCCCGCAGTTTAGTTTAGTTTCACGTTGCAACTGACACTGACAGAATTGACTGACAGCATTCGGATTATATTATGATAATAATATGATAATAGGATTACTATCCATGGACGAGAGTCCGAGACAGTCCCGGTGGATGCTCGCGAATTAATTAACTCTTTAATTAATCGTTTCCTCTCTGCAATCCACCGCAGATCGCACCGTGACCTGGTTGCCTTTTTACCTGGTCTTCTAGCTTGGTTCATATCTTCATTTCAACAGGGACAGAGTCTGGAAGACATCATGCCCGCTATCTATCGATCGATCTACCCGTCTATCTTCTTATTCTGTCCCGAGTTCCCTTCGAATTCCCTTCAATCCCGGTCCCCAAGACGGTAGATGCCTCGATACCTGAGGCCCCGCAGTGGAGAAAGCCTGCCGACAATGAGATTAATGAGATGCACTGATAAACGCCAGAAAACGAGAATGACGAGGCCAGGATGATCCCAAGCTCTGCAGAGAAATGACCCTGAAGGCCGAACTCCTGAAAACACGGTGGCTTGTTTCTCATTTCCGCGCACGGATTGCCGAACGCTCATGACGCTCGGTTCCAGACCACCTCCAAGACCTGAGGAGCTTCGGTCTCGCCTCGCTCGCGCAAATAGATTTGTCGCACCCGGTCTGGCCCGTCCGCAATGGCCTCCTTCAGTCGGAAGGAAATCTTGTCCTGGTCCTTGCCCCGTAGTGGTCCCAGGCTGTACGCGAACGGATTCGACCCTTCGTATTTGCTGTCATCCCACGTTTGCTCCATCGCCGCCGGGTCGAGAAATTCGCGCGAATACTGAATGACCGAGTATCCGTTGATCAGGTACCAGCCGTCCGCCAGCTGCCAGCGTCGCAGCACACACTCAGAGCCGCACACGGCGCCCACTTTGCCCAGTGCGGCGATGTTGGTGTGATGCCAGGACTTCCAATGGTGCAGGGACAGCGGAAGGCGCCGCCCGGACTCGTAGAAACCCGACACGTCGCCGCGCAGGTCGAGCTGGTGGAGATCGCGGTCCCATGTGAGTTTGGTATCCGTGTGCGCGTAGATGCACTGCCCGATCATGCCGTCGCCGGCGCCCTTAAAGAGATAGCAGTCGTCGAAGACCTTGTCCAGTCGCTCCACCATTGGTAAGGAAAGGAAGACTCCTGCGCCACCATACGCGATGTGGCCGGCCAGATACAGGTACCACATGTCTTCGGAGAGCGCACCGATATACTGCGGGCGTGTGGCGTCGTAGGAGGCCAGTCGGTCGACCAGGTTCTGCATGGACGGGAAGAAAGTATCGTCGTCGATCAAGACGGTCCATTGGGTCGACGCGTCGCGGTGTTCGAGGAAAATGCGCACCAGTGAGAAGTATCGGTCCAGCACCTCCTCATCCCATTTTTGGATAATCGTCAGGCGCAGACCCAGCTGCCTGGCCCGCTCCTCCGTCTGTGTCCGCAGCGATCCTCCTTCATCGATCACGGCGATAATGTGTGCGCCCGTGCCCGCCGCCCAGTGAGCAAATGCGTCCAGAGAGTTGTGTAGTCGCTCGATAGAAGTTGCCACTCCGAAGATCAGATGCGACGCATTGACCGGAGCGCTTACCACGGGGCCGGGGATCGTTAGGGACGTAGAGCATTTTTCTTCCTGTAAGCCTTCGCGCGTGCTCTCGGTATCCAGGCGAACGGGGTGGTAGGCAGGGAAGGACACGTCAAGGGAGTCGGAGAAGTTGGTGAAGTTGGGAGTCGGTGCGACGGCGATTTCCAAGCGCGCGTACTCCACCGTGGAGGCATTGGTGTAGGTTCGGAGGATGTCGAGATCGGTGTAGCAGGTGCCGTTGAACTCGCCGGCAGGGATCGGGGGATTCACTCCGGCATCGAGGACGGGGTCGACGGTGCTGTCATGTAAATAAAGGAAGGAGATGGCAGTGCAGATGATGAAGAAAGTCGCCGTCAAAGCAATCAGTCTCAGCAGAGTCGCTTGGCGCAGTTGAAGCAAGTGACGGTGGAGTTGCTGCATCGCGACCAAGACATGACTGATCCTTCGGACTACGTAAGAACCGGACAATCGTGCTTGTGTCAATTGGGGGGAAATTAACAAACTGAATCTGCAGGAGATCGACGTCTAGAAATGCCGAAGTATCCCTTGCCCGTCAGCGGACTTACTCAGTAGTGCTTACCGACAGGAAAAGAGAAAAGCGAGAGGAAAAGATGAAACGTGAAGGGGTTCCGCTTAGTTTGATCGGCACGTTTCCATGCCTTTCGCGGTTCCATGGCTCATCAGCATTCTAGGGCAATGCTACCAAGGGCTAATCCATGGTTTGGATTGAATCCTTTGGTGTCAACTGTTGACGGAGGACGAAGGGTCTTAATTCTTCAAGATCTCTTTCGAGCCTCCGGCTACTTATTCTAGAGCTCGGCACCAACACTGTATGTATATGTCTCTGCATCGTGCACTCTGCATACATATTTCAGTTGACCGAGCCCTTAAATCTATTCAGGCATGCATTAGATCGAGATAATAATATACCTTTCAAATCTTGCACCTCTGCAATGTAGTGCGGTTCACCACGTGGCTGTATCCAAGCTTTAATTCAATCAGAGATATCGACAAGATATTTACCTATATCTACGAAATACATCAAGGATGATGGGGAAAGGGAAGGGAAAGAGAGCTCGAAACATAGTAGATGGAGAGAAAATGCTAGGTGATGGTTTAAAAAGGTAGATGGTGTTCGTCTCCTAACCAATGTATGATTTGTCTACTCTACTACTCCACTAGGTTAGTACAAAAGTACCACCCATCCATCATCCTTCATATCTTCATCGCTTCATTCAATCAACCGGTATACTTTTATTTCTGGCAGGATATATCAAGATTCAATACGAACTCCCGTGACCACGTCGGATAAAAACAAAGATAAGAAAAGGGAACAAAATGCTGTGGTGTATTCATGCAAAATCTTTGGCAAACGTAACAAAAACTCTACAGAGAGCTGACAAGTCTCCGCTCCTTGCGCAGAGCCTTGAGCTTGGTACGAGCCTCCTCAAGAGGGATCATGACGCCCTGTTTCTGGGTAGCAGGGTCGTCACGGTTGCGGATGTTGACGGTGCGGGATTCCTTCTCGGAGGCACCGACAACGAAGATGAAGTTGTACTGGTGCAGCTGTCCAGTACGGATCTTCTTCTGCATGGTGTTGCCACTGATGTCGATGTCGACGTTCAGCTTGTCACCCCGCAGGATTTCCTGCAGCTCTTGGACATAGTCGTTCACGGCGGGCATGACGGGCACAATCAGAATCTGGCGAGGGCTGATCCAGAAGGGCCACTTGCCACCGAAGTGCTCGATCAAGATACCCAGGAATCGCTCGAAGCTACCAATAATAGCACGGTGGATGACCACGGGACGGGCACGGCCCGCTCCAAGCTCGTTGCTCTTGCTCTGGCCCTCCTTCTGCTCATCCTCGGTGGCCACTTGGACCTTCTCGCCCTTCTCGTTGGTCATGTACTCAAGCTTGAAGTTGATGGGGGCTTGGTAATCGAGCTGGATAGTGGCGCACTGGAACTCTCTCTTGAGAGCGTCGGCGATGGTGATATCGATCTTGGGGCCGTAGAAAGCACCGTCACCCTCATCGATGGTCCAGTCGTTGCCCATGAACTTGGTCATGCAGGCCTTCAGCTGTTCTTCGGCGTAGTTCCAGGTCTCGAGCTCACCAAGGTACTTCTCGGGGCGGGTGGAAAGCTTCAGCTTGAAGGTGAATCCGAAAAGGCCATAGATAGACTTCAGGAAGTCAAAGAGACCCTCGATTTCTTGGGCAATCTACAAAAAAGAAAAATTAGTCTGAACGATATGGCACTGTCCGCTAAACTCGGAGCGAACTTACCTGATCCTCAGCACAGAAGATGTGAGTGTCATCCTGCTGGAACTTCCGGACACGAGTAAGACCGCTCAGGGCTCCCGAAGCCTCGTTTCGGTGCAGAACACCGAAATCCGCAAGTCTCAGGGGGAGCTCTCGGTAACTCCGCTCACGGTGGCCGAAAAGCACGAAATGTCCGGGACAGTTCATGGGCTTGAGGGCCCATTCTCGCTTCTCGACGTCGAGCTTGAACATGTCATCCTTGTAGTGTTGCCAGTGACCCGAGGTCTTCCAGATGCCAACATCGTACATGTTGGGGGTCTGGACCTCCTGGTAGCCTCGCTTGCGGTATTCCGTTCGCAGAAGAGACTGGAGAGCGTTGAAAATCTTGGTACCGTTGGGGAGCAGGAAGGGGCAGCCGGGAGAAACTTCGTCGAAGAAGAACAGTTCTTGCTCCTTGCCGATTCGCACGTGGTTACGCTTCTCAGCCTCCTCCAGGAACTTCAGATGCTCCTGCATCAGCTTCTTGTCGGGGAATGCAACACCACGGATACGTTGCAAGGAGTCGTTGGCCTGGTCACCCAGGAAGTATGCGGAGGAGTTCTTTGAACCGGATCATTAGTGTGGGCATTCCAGAAGATAGGGTTCAGCTTTCGTACCTGCATGATCTTGAAGGTCTTGACCTTGCCAGTGTTCTGGATGTGAGGACCTCGGCAGAGATCCACCAGGGTACCACAACGGTAGACGGTGCTCTTCTCTCCAGTGACCAACTTCTCAATGTAGTGCAGCTTGTATTTGCTGTACGAGAACATCTTGCGAAGGTTCTCTTTCGTGACTTCCAATCGGTCAAAGCTCTGCTTCTCCTTGAAGATCTTAGAGGCCTTGTTGTCCAGCGACTTCCAGTCACTCTCCTTGACGACACGGCTGTTCATCAGGTCAGCTTTGTCGGAACAAATAGCGATGATCCGATTTCACCGCGCCACCAATTAAGCTGATTTAAACGTACCTGTCAGGCATAGCCATATCATAGAAGAAGCCCTGAGGGGTAGGAGGTCCATGAGAAAGGAGACATCCATATTCGCACTCGCAGGCTTCACCCAAGCAATGCGCACTGGAGTGCCAGAAAACCTCCCGTGCCTCGGGGTGCTCGAAGGGAAGATAAGAAACCGTGCAGTCGCTTTCAAACGGGCGGCCTAGATCCCATAGCTCCTTGTTGATCTTGGCGATGACCACATTGGCACTCAGCTCCTTGGGCAGGTTCTTGAGCAGATGAGCAGGTGTGTTCTCCCAGGCCTTGGCAGCGACCGTCGAGACCTCTCCGTTTCCGAGGTCGATGGTGACATTGATATCAGGGTGCGGCTTGTTCTTGAGCTCCTCGAGATGCTCCTGCCACAGCTGTTCGAAGAGGTTGTTTCGCTCGACAATGAAATCGGGGAGCAAGTCTATCGGCGCATTGATCTGATTAGGAGGGGTTTCGGAGAAATTTGGCGGGGTAGAGGGACAAGGCACGAAAACTCACCACCTTTGGCCTCTGCGGGCCGGACAGGCAAGACTTCGGCGCCTTCGGTAGCCATGGTTGTATCCCGGTACTTTTCTGGAGAAAGTGAAAAGGTGTCGGAGCAGAGGCGTGAGAGCAAGGAGGGGGGGGCCAACGACACGATGACTCCTTCGCACTCGGATAGGAATAGATCGATGGACGCAAATCCGATCAGTGAGGCCCCGAAGGCGGTGAGTCATGTGACAGAAAACTGCCCTGGCGGCTAGCGACACTTTACCGCATCGAGCTTCCCACCATTTGAAAACTTCTCCGGGCTCCGTTCATACAGATCAATCACCGATTATCGCAGCCATAATGTCTTTTCGCGGAGGAGGTCGTGGTGGCTTTGCCACCGGTTCTAATCGCGGCGGTTTCGCCCCCCGTGGTGAGTCGCAATCCATGCAGGAAGTTCGAGGTTTCAATGGGGGTACATGCTAACGAAAATTTCATCGGACAGGCCGCGGAGGCTTCCAGCAGCAGTCGTTCGGTCCCCCTGCCCAGGTCCTAGGTAAGAATACACGAAAATAAAACGAGGAGGACAGAATGATCTTTGAATGGAACGGCCGGCTAATATACATCTAGAGATGGGATCGTTCATGCACGCTACCGAAGGCGAGATGGTTTGCGAATCTGTCAACCCCAAGATTCCCTACTTCAACGCCCCCATCTACCTGGAGAACAAGGTATGATAACACTTCAGATGCGATCATATGCAATCCGGCGGTTGGAAAAAGGGATTAACAAAGTTCTGTCGCAGACCCCTATCGGAAAGGTCGATGAGATTCTCGGTCCTATCAACCAGGTCTACTTCACCATCAAGCCCCAGGAGGGAATTGTCGCAACCTCTTTCAAGCCCGGTGACAAGGTCTACATTGGTGGCGATAAGCTCCTTCCTTTGGAGAAGTACGTTATACTTTCATGCTCCGTGTTGCTACTGCCTATACACCTGCTAACCGTGTGAAATCAGATTCCTTCCTAAGCCCAAGCCCCCTCCAGGTAGGATAACAAACACGCCCATACCCCTGCTCAACATTCAAAGCTCCTTACTGACAACGTTCTTCAGGTGCTGCGAAGCCCAAGAGAGCCGGTGGTGCTAGCCGAGGTGGACCCATGCGTGGTGGACGCGGCGGTGGACGCGGCGCTCCCCGCGGACGTGGTGCCCCCAGAGGCCGTGGTGGCTTCGGCGGCGGTGGTTTCTCTCGAGGTGGTGGTGGCGGCTTCTCCAGGGGTGGTGGCAGAGGAGCCCCTCGTGGAGGTGGAGGCTTCCGCGGACGTTATTAGACAGTCTCTGTCTTGCTTAGTACTGTCATATTACGGCGTTTTGGGAAAACGGGAGCTCTTGCAGGAACTTTTTTGTCTCGATATTCTTGTGCATCCTAAAGGAAAAGATTTACCTGTCTGCAGAGGCTGTAGAATAGATCCAGCCATTGAATGGACGTCTTACGAGAATAGAGTAACTTGCCAGTTGGGAATTTGTCGTATTTCGTATGCATTTTGGAAAATGAGATCGGACCGGATTTTCCCATCCTCCGAGATTCCCGTGGCTAGTGAGTGTGGCGCAGCAGAACCACCGCCTGGCAATGACGTCTGGCGGCACATGCCGAGCCGTAGAATCTCTGTGCGCCTGTCCGTCAACACACCCTTCCGACAGTCATTGCCAACATCTACGTCGATTCCTCCCACGTCATCCATGCCCGTTTCGCTCGACATTTAAGCGTTACGGCAGATCCCACATCGATTCCCCTCTCCTTTTCTTTGTATTTTCTACGATTGAGCATGTCTCGTCGGACATCAGCCATGTCTTCGAGCACTTCCACGAATAGCGGTGTCCCGCATGCGAGCGACGGTGGTGAGCTCTGATGGCCAAGATTCCCTTCTCTCTGTTCCTGGCGCTCATTCTCAGCAGGCCAAGAAAAGCAGAAGATGCTACTTTCTTCGGAGACCGGCCACTTCAGCATGATCAAGTCAGTCGCTGTCCATCTTCCCTCGGCGCTAATTGGATCATCTGCTCACTTCAATTCCGTGCTCTAGGGCTTTGCACCTTGCCGATCTAGTGACTGAACTCAATGGTAGTTACTCAAGGCTATCTGAATAAATCTTCTCGGTAATATGCTGACTCTTATTTGTAGGATTTTGCGGAGGCAAGCTCACCCGATCTGGTTTTCGCACTCCCGCGAAACTACCCAACTAACCTCCTCAATAGTGATGTCAGTCCTCTCGTCCATGCGGTACTGCCTCGGAGACCCCTCTGATCACGGTGCCATCTGGGCCGCTCTCGCCTTCATGCCATTCGGTCTATTTTTCGATTTTATGGACGGCAAGATTGCCCGGTGGAGAAAGAAGTCCTCTCTTATGGGACAAGAACTCGACTCTCTGGCGGACCTGGTAGGCCCTTCCACCACCTCCTCTTGCTCAGCACAAAATCCATTTACTAAACACCCTCATCTCCGCTTCAGATCTCCTTCGGTATGGCGCCCGCCGCGGCCGCATTCGCGCTCGGAGCCCGCACGTCTCTGGATCATCTCCTGCTTTCCTTCTTTGTCCTCTGCGGCCTGACCCGATTGGCACGATTCAACGTGACGGTCGCTGTCCTGCCCAAGGACAATTCCGGCAAATCAAAGTACTTCGAAGGCACGCCCATCCCCACCACACTATCTATCGCTTCCTTGATGGCGTACTGGGTCTCGAAGGGTTGGATTCAGGAGGATCTACCGCTGGGTCTTGTCGCGCAGGGCACGATCTTCGAATTCCATCCTGTGGTGCTCCTCTTCGTTCTGCATGGCTGCCTGATGGTCAGCAAGTCCATACATATCCCTAAGCCTTGAAAGAGTCTGTATCTGTGTACAGATGGTTGGAATCCGTGTGTCTGGATTCGGTATTTTTTTTTTTTCTTTCTCTTTCTCTTTCTTGATAGAGCGGTTTTACGAGCATATATAAAGAGAGAAAAGCCTACAAAACACACACACACACACACACACACACACAGCGATAGGGATATGAAGCATTTAGTGGGACAGAACGTATAGATTGCAGATATTCGTGTTTTTTTTTTTTCGTGCCAAGCAAAAGTAACTATCCGTAGATATGTATCGCTGTCATATGCTACGAGTACAGAAAGTATAGATAAGCAATCACAATACAATCTCCAAGTGAACAATTTCTTTACTACAGTATGATGCCACGAAATCTCCGGAGCAATGCCTCTCTCCTCAAACTCATCCAGCTCAATAAATAAAGGAGCGGACTTCTTTGCCCCGCGAGCGGGGAGATGGTGAGGGGTGGCCATACACAGAGCTGAGGAGAGGAGTGGTCTCCACCGAGAGGGGAAGGAAGTAGTAGAACGACTTCTTCTCTTCCTCCAAGGGAGAACTTGACTAGCGAATTGGATGCAGAAGTAACACTTTCGGTGGTCCTATTAGACCGCAGATGACTCTTCAAGGGAGTTAATCCACACTGTAAACTACTGTGACGCGAGGACTGCCTGAAGTGACTTGTTGCTTGAACCCGCTGCTTATAAAAGATAACTTGCACTGGAGGATGTTTCTGGCGAATTGTACATTTTCACGTCCGGCGTTCCCTACCTACCTAGTTTCGTTCGTATCTGATCAAGTACAGTGTATACCAAAGTTGGTGGAAACCAATTGGTTTCCTACAGATCCGTAGCCTCTCTTTGCAAATCCGGAGTCATTCGGCCCTGGATGATTGACCTTGAATGGGGTGGAGAAAGCGCAAATCATATCGATGACCTTGAAACCCAATAGACAAATTGAGATGCAGTAGAGTAATTCTCGTGTTTCGCAGCAGACACAAATGGAGATTATAGGTGGATATACAACCAAGTGATCCAAAAAGCCGCATGTAATCCTAGGTCATGGACTTGGGTGGAGAGAACACACGAGATGCCACGCCTAGATCTAGGGAGGATTCCTACAATATATAAAGATCTTACGGCGTAGAACCAGAGCAATGCCCCATGGAACAGATCGAATTTGATATCAGATCTGTGAGACAAACGACCAGCACAAGAAACTCGTGCTGATAACCCAATCAAGATCTTACCAAAGAATACATATCATTTCGGAATCAGACGGCAAAACTCCTGCACCTTACAAGGCCGCTACCACCCACAATACTGAGTACTCCGTACAGCCGTCTCAATTTTCAGACACGATTAGAATCGACAAAATCTGGATTTGGTGAGGCGACGGAACGTTGATCAATCAATCCAGCCCGAGTCGAGAGTCGAGTCTAGACTGCATAGACTGGCAGACCGACGGAATTCCTGGAAACGAACGGGCCTGGGTGCTCCGCCGGAAGAGACAGAGTAACATTTGCTACCTTGCTAGCCTCGAAGGCCGGCGTGTATTTTCCAGAATTGCCGTGGGAGCTGACATGTTTTCTCGTGGGTCGTGACAGGTTCTAGACCCCGGCCGACGTGGCCCGACGACTCGACGAGGGCTCGAATGGTGGGAAATTCAAATTGGTAATCAGAGTATTGATCCATCCATAGGTACAGAGTTATTTATATTGGTATTACTGAGTACTCCGTAACTAGTGTTATTAGTTATTAGTATTGAGAGTCGCAAGTTGCTCGGACCTTGAGCTAATAATGGCCGGGTTGGCGAGTTCCGTCGTTCGTCGGGCGTCCATCGGGGCTACTGGCTGGCTAGTCACTCGTTCCTGGCAGCTGGGCGAACTCCCGTCTGGACGATGGCACAAGTCGTATAGAAATGATAATTCATTCCTGTTGCCGTGAAACGACGCGACAACGTGTACAGATCTGCTGCGAGACTAGGTAGGTAAGTAATAGAATGATCACCTCCTTGCGCCGATGTTATCCGGCAGTAACAGATACACAGTCACACTGTACGGACTGTAGTAGGTAATCTCCATAATCAAGAAAGTCGCGAGTACCCCGTACTCGCCTTCCAATATGAAACAAAAACCCAGATAAGCTTATTTGGCATTCTCAGTCAAGCATCAATAGCAACGAGAGAAACACATCGCATGCCCGGACAAGACAATGACTCTCTCTGA